ACTTAAAAGCGACTTATAGTGACTCCGCAGATATTTTTGCAACAGCAACAGTTAAAGTGACAACTGCTGATACTGGAGCATCAAATCAACAGGCACTTCAACGTCTTGAAATTGCATCTTCGTATCAGATTAATGCAAAAAATGATTCGATTACCATTACAGTCAAAGGAATTAATAATAAAGGTGAAGCTGCGACTCAAGGTAAGGTCAAACTCAGCCTAAATGCTGAAGCGAATTCTAATGGTGTTACTTTTGATGGAAGTGCAGAACAAGAATTTAAAACAGGTTATGTTACTTACACCTTAAAAACCAATGCTAAAACGCCAGCAGCTGTTGAAGCTTTAGTTGCGGCAGGTATTACTGCAACGTTTACCACAGATAATAATGTAACAAACAGCATTAAGATTACAGTAGAAGATGAAGCGAAGTCAGAGGAAGCATTAAGTTATCTTGCAATAGACCCGATTAATGTGGCCTATGATTACACTAAGGATCAAACCATTGTAGTCAAAGTGAAAGCTACAGGGGTAAAAGGTGGTGCATTAAAAGGAGAGACTGTTAATTTAGGATTTTCAAAAGCATATTCAGTTTCAGAGTTGCAAAGCCTAGGATTAAGTCTAACTGGTTCTGCGGATGCACTTACAGATGCAACAGGTTATGCAACATTTACCTATCAGTATAAAGCAAGCGGAAGTCCAACCCAAAAAGCATTAGTTGAGAATGGTTTAGGACTCATTGCTAAACCAACCAATGGAGTTGGTGCGGCAAGTACAGTCAATCTCAATTTTAAAGCCCCAACAGCTCAAGGTGAAATTGATTTAGATCACTTGAATATTGATATGTTGGGTAGCCTCATTTTAACTGTAAATAACGAACAAACATTTGATGTAACCATTAATGCGTTGGGTACAGATGGTAAGGCGCTGGCGAATCAAAAAGTGTCTATCGGGCTAAATGATGCAGCGACAAGTAATGGAGCGAGCCTCGCGACGGCGGCAACACTTACAACGAATGCTCAAGGTCAAGCAACGTTTAAGATTAAGGTGAAAGCCAATAATACAAGTGAATTGGCGAACTTGGTTGCAAATGGTCTTACTGTGGCTGTAAAAGGAGTACGTACCGATGGTTCTGCTTATACAGTTACGCGTAAAGTTGAGATTTCTCAACCTGTGGTTGTCATTCCCGATTTGGCCGCATTAAGTCTGAGCTATGATGTTCAAACCGTTTCTGTATTGGGTGGAGAGGTCCGTGTTAAAGTGATTGCCAAAGATGAGAATGGAGCAATTATTCCAAATACATCTGTCGCGATTGCATTATCAAGTTTAGCGGGTTCTCGAGTTTCATTGTCAGACTCCAATGTGACAACAAATAGTAAGGGTGAAGCTGAATTTACCATTCGAGTTGCTGAAGGTGCTTATGATGCGAGCTTAATCAAGAATGGCATCACCTTTGCTGTTGTGGGTACAAATCGTAATAATGGTGATCGTATTCAGCAGACGGGTTCGATTCAGGTTGCTGTTCCAGCCAATGCTTTGAATCCTCGTCTAACTACAGATACTAAATACGCTAAAGCGAATGATAAAATCAAGATTTATGCTTCAGTAAAAGATGAAGCTGGAGCTTATACTACGGGTACGCCGATGAGGCTTAGCCTAAACCCTGAGGCAGTTGCAGCAGGTGTTACATTAAGTGCAGACAGCATATTGGTTTCTTCTACGGGGAACGTAACGGTTGAACTCAATATCCCTAATGGTTTAACAACAGCGCAGTTAAGTAAAATTTCAGTTATTGGTTCGATTAATAATCCGAATGGTGCAGAGATTAAAACGACCTTAGAGCTAGAAGTTCAAGATGTCGTAAATGATTATCACCTCTCGATAGATAGTAATAGAGCTTCGCTGAGCTTAGCTGGTGATACTGCTTTAGTAACAGTGAAATTATTAGATGCAAATCAAGGTGGTATTCAAAATCAACCTGTAAACTTAGCAATTGTTGATTCAAGGAATAGTACAACGATTAAAGGTGCGTCACAAATCGTCACAAATCAATATGGGGAAGCGGTTTTTTCAATTGATATGAAAGCCTCTAATTCTTTAGATTTAAGTTCAATACAATTAATTGCGACGCATACAAATACACAAGGTGCAAAAGCACAGCAAATTTCTCAGATTGGAGTGCATACGCCAACTGCATTAATTCCTCAGCTAGATTTAAAATTAAAAGCTTCTAAAGACAAATTGCATGTTAGAGGTGATGCTGTGGATGTATCTGTATTAGTTACGGATATCAATGGATCTAGTCAGCCAGGTAAAGCTGTAACGTTAACTATTCCAAATTATCAAAAGAATGGTGCGTATATTCGTGGAGCATCTACACTTACCAGTGATGAAAATGGATGGGTTAAATTTACAGTCGTTGTTGATGAGAGCCTTCGTACGAATGGTTATGATGCAGCACAATTTGTTAGTGATGATTTAATTGTTGAAGCATTGGTAAAAGATTCAAATGCAACTGAACGTCGACAAAGCTATTTAGTTGATGTGATTAATGCTGAAATACCTGTGACTCAAGGGTCAATTACGGTTGTTATGAATCCAAATCATGTTGGTGTTGATGATCAAACAGGCACTTACTATAACTGGAGTGCTTCTGTTCAGCTTGTAGATTTAGATGGTCGTCCTGTGGCAAATCAAAATGTTACTATGGATATTCGAGCAGTTGAATTTACGCGAGGTGCATGGACTGTAGTTGAAAATCCGGTAACTAAAGAAAAATCATGGGCTCAATATTTACCACCAGCATCTTTGCCTTTGTCTTGTGCAGTCCCTGATAACGATGATCCGTCTACACCGTATGATGATCGTAATGTAACGATTACGGGCGAAAAAGATAGAGATGGGCTTGCTGTATTGGAAACTTTAAATGCTGTCCGCTTCATAGGTGCTAGCGAATCTAATCCATATACAGCAACCTATACGACAGACAAAGAAGGTAAATTTGATTTTGAATTACGTTATCCAAAAGCATATGCAAGTTGGTTAAAAGTCCAAGTGGGTGCTAAAACATCATTGTCAAATTATCCTGTACATGGTTATCGCACAGTGATGTTACCTACTGTAACAAATGATTTTGATAAGGTTGATTGGTCATACACACCATCGATCAATAATAAAAGCCCTTATGGAATTATTGATTATTGTAAATAATTGAATCAAAAAACAGCGCTTCGGCGCTGTTTTTTTATTTAACAGATGTTCCCATACTTACCCCAACCGTAGGTCTTACATTCATTGAACTACATGCAGATAAAAGTAGACATGAGATCAAGATAAGGCCAATAACTTTCATAGAAATATCCAAACTTTAAGTTGTTGTTATTCTAATCCCATTGATAAGACGGCGTGTGTAGTAAAATTATTGTCTTTCATTGATTGAGTTAAAATTTTTATTCAATTTCATTGTTGGTATTGGATTCTATAATTGGAGATGTTTAAAAGCCTAAAGTTTTAAGCTTTTAAACGGGAGTATACAAATAACTGATTCGGTGATGTTATGGCGTTGTAAATTGCAAAACACGATTGCCATATTGATCGACTAACTTTAACGTTTTGTCATAGACTTGATAACCTTTCACCTTATTGAGTGCTTCAGTATAGTCAGCCGCAAGTTTCATAGTGTCCTGACAATACATACGAGTAGAGCCGAGTTGTCCTAAGGTTAAGTGTTGTCCTTTGATCGCATAGGCACCCATAATGCGATTACAACCATCTGCACCACTTACCCGTAAATCTGAACCAAATTGAATACTTGGTACGTTGTGAGCATTTGACGTTGCTTTATATTCTGTTGCACCAATATGCGTAAGTGTCCAATTTTTGTTTTGCAACAAACTTAAATTTTGGCTTTGTTGATCGGCACTTGGTGTAGATGCACATCCAGAAAACAAGAGCGTTGCTGTGATGAATGTGGTTGCGAGTATGGATTTAAACATGCGTATTCTCCTAATTTTAATCATTATATAAACAAAATTGAGTTAAACCATAAAGACGGGCTGACTAAAGCTATACATTATTGAGTATGGTCTTCAGGTAAACCAAAACGAATCACTTTAGAAAAGTTATCGCTATTTTGATATTTAAACTGAGCATATTCAGCTGTTCTTGGATTGATATGTGCTTTTTTATACCATTCTTTGATTGACCATTGATGATTTAATGCACCCAAATCATAAAGATAATTGGGTAAATAACCTGAAGCCAATAAACGATAATCTGTTGGTAATTTTTCAGGGGAAATCGCCTGAACCATATCAAAAACCAAAGTTGTACAGTTACTGGTTAGGGTGTTGTACCACTTTGGATGTTCTGCTAAAGCGGAAGATTTCAAAAGATATTCTTCAAATAATGCTTTGGTCTCTGCTTTCGGTAATTGAATCGGGAAAAAATAAACCTGTTCACCTCGAATATTACTTCGTGTATAAACAATATCTTTTTCATCTGCAGCGATTAGGCTTAGCTCAAACTGTCTAAAAAAACCACCAATTGCAGAAAAGTTTTCATTTTTTTCTTTCCGGATTTCGATGGAAAAAACAAGTGGACGTTGATTTAAAAAATCAAAGCTGACCAAGGTATGGGCAATCTGTGGTCCCATCCAATAAGAGGTGATGATATTGACGCCTGTAATCTCATCTAAGTTGTAGCTTCTGGTTTCCCAGCGTTCGTCATATTGATCAGGGGAGTGCCAATTAAAGTTGCGGACATTATGAATCGTGACAAGATTACCTTGTTGCTCGTAAGTAAAAATTCTGGAAACTTCTGGACTCCATTGACGATCTTGCTGCGCAGGAATATTAAAGTACCAAATTAAGCTGATAATAAAGGCGATGATATAGATCAGACTGTCAGTTTTTCGGCTAAATATATTTTTAGTAAAATAGATTCCAAGAATACTCAGTGCAAAAATAATCCAAATAGGGATGATGATATAACTGAAAATCTTTCCTAAGGGGTGTTGAATCCAAATCGCGAAACAAAACCACAGGCTGCTCAATACGACAAATAAGCTAAACAAGGAATGGATTATCCCCATTCCAAGTGTATGCAGTATTGATCTTGCTTTTAAGCTATCCATAAGCCACTATTTTTATTCATAAAGTTCAGTGCTATTTTCGGTATGTTGCAAACTCAAAAGCAATAGCTGTTTTGTCATCAACATGTGACTCGCTTGCAACTTTTTTAAATTCCGCTGGGATTTCTGGATAATACGCATCACCTTGTACATCGAGCTCAATGTGGGTGAGCTCTAAACGATCAGCAATGTGCATGGTTTGTTTAAAAATTTCACCACCACCAATGATAAAGATACTGGCAGGTTTTTCTGATGCCAATACATCAGGAATCGCTTGCTCCAAAGCAGCATCTATACTATGGGCCGTTTTAACCCCAGCAAAGTTCCAATCCTGATCACGGGTAATTACCCAATTGACACGTTTAGGTAATGCACGTCCCATCGATTCAAGCGTTTTACGTCCCATCACCACAACACCGCCTTGGGTGATTTCTTTGAAGTGTTTAAGATCTGCTGAAATATGCCATGGAAGATCATTCGCTTTACCAATGCAGCGTTGTTGATCCATTGCAACGACATGCACAATTTCAAAGTTTTTAAATGTCATAATGAATTCGCTTATTACCCATTGGAAAATTTTCCCTCCTATTGCAAGGAGGGAATAAGGAAAGACTGAATTAAAATATTTAAACAGCTACAGGTGCTTTAATTGCAGGATGTGATTCATAACCTGCAATTTCAATATCTTCAAATTTAAAGTCAAAAATATCCTTAATTTCAGGATTTAACTTCAGTTGGCACAATGGTAAGGGTTCACGTGTTAACTGAAGTTTTGCTTGTTCAAAATGGTTAACATATAAATGTGTATCACCGCCAGTCCAGACAAAATCACCTACGCCTAAACCACAAACTTGAGCAACCATATGAGTCAGTAGAGCATAGCTGGCAATATTAAATGGCACCCCTAAGAAAACATCTGCACTACGTTGATAAAGTTGGCAAGACAACTTTCCATCCTGAACAAAAAATTGGAATAAAGTGTGGCATGGCGGTAAGGCAACTTTACCTGCTTCATTTGGGTTCCAGCCAGACACAATCAAACGACGTGAGTTTGGATTGGTCTTGATTTCATTGACCAACCAACTGATTTGGTCAAAACCATCATTTTCAAACAAACCATTGTCTTTTTGCGTTGCGCCAAAGTTACGCCATTGATGACCATAGACTGGGCCCAATTCACCCTCAGGGCGTCCAAAACGGGCAGTCTGTTCAGCGGTAGACCATTCATCCCAGATCGAAACTTTATTGTCTTTTAAATATTGAACGTTGGTGTCGCCTTTTAGGAACCACAGCAGTTCAATCACAATTGAGCGGAAATGAACTTTTTTAGTGGTCAGTAGCGGAAACCCTTTTGACAAGTCAAAACGCATTTGATGACCAAATACAGAACGAGTACCTGTACCAGTACGATCACCTTTGTCACCGCCATCGTCTAGGATATGTTGTAGAAGGTCTAAATACGCTTTCATATAGTTTCCAATTTGGGGAGTTTATACGACACAAATGACAGATTATGTCGCATGGTTACCCATTCGTAATGTTTCTGAATAGCTTCAGAGTTTATACTAATCTGACTTTCTTTTTAAGCTAGATTATTTTCTGTTTTGCATCCATCTAACATCTAAAACTAAGAGTATTTGAAAATGAGTATAAATTTGAATGAGCTCCCAGCATGTTTACAGCCTTATAAAACGCAAATTATTGCGACAAAAAAAGACAGTATAGAAATATCATTAGTGCCGACTGAAGATTTACAGATTTGGCAAAGCAAAGTGGGTGGAAATCCTTATTTACCAGTAGGAAAGCAATATCCGCAGAGCGCGGAGGGGGATGACTTACAATTATTGGCGCAGATCAATTTTGCAGAAGTGCCAGAAAATCAACATTATCCAAAGTCTGGAATTTTACAGTTTTTTATCAATCCGCATGATGATTTATATGGTCTCAATTTTGATGATCAAAAAAAGCAAGATGGCTTTCGCGTGGTTTTCTATGACAAGATTGAGCAAGATCTTGCACTTTTACAAAGCGATTTTCCAAGTTTTGCTGAGGACGATATTTATAGTCCTATCGCAGGGCAATCTGCGATTCAGTTTGAGAAGGCTGAAAGCTATATTGATATGAACAATTTTGATTTTGCTCAAAAAATCACAGACCCTTATGAAAGAGAAGATGAGGAAGAGTTTTGTGATGAGTACAGTGAAGTTTTTTCCGCAAGCGGTCATCGTTTAGGAGGATATCCATTTTTTACTCAATCTGATCCGCGTGAATACAATGAATCTATTCAAGATTATATTTTACTGTTGCAGATTGATACAGGTGAAGCTGAAGGTATTGAGATCATGTGGGGCGACTCAGGCGTAGGGAACTTCTTTATTCATCCTGATGATCTTGAAAAAAGAGATTTCTCTAAAGTGGTGTATAACTGGGATTGTTATTAAGCACCGACGACATAATTTCTAAAAAGCTGATGTTGATAACGTCAGCTTTTTATTGAAAAAATCTTTCTTTGGCGTACGATTTTGCTGAATTCATAAAACAAAAGTGTGACTCAATTGACAGTTTAATGTGTTGATTAGATTAAGAAAATATTTTAATGATACGGCTGAGTAAACTTTTATTGATTAATTTTTAAACAAACAAACCCAGATGATGAATTGTGTAATGTCAGCAGTTTCAGTAGCTTGAGGCGTTACAAATGAGATTTATTAACACTTACATATTTTTTTACATGTTTTAAGTCTACATTTTAAGAATTGCTGATTACTATTCATGGCTTGTGAAAAGTTGTTATTGGTTTAAACAAGGTGGTTTGAATCAATTCAAAAGGGCAGTTTGAGGACAATGCATGATTTACGACCACAATGTTAATATGAATGAATACGTGAATCCCACGGTTCATATTCAGATTCGATCGGAAAATCAAAATAATAATTTTCGACCAGATGAATACTTAAAAAATAAAGCATTTGAAACTTTTAAAAATCAAACTGAAGCATTTAAGAAAGAAAGCTTAATCGATATTAGCAAATTTACTGAAAAACTTGTCAGTATGTCACGTAGTACTACTGCACATCGTTGTGCAAGATATGTGCGTATAGCGCTTGAATCAGCCGGTGCGCGTTTTTCTGATCATCCTGTTGCCGCTTCAGATTGGGGTTCGACTTTAACTGAGATTGGTTATAAGCAAATCCGTCCTGACTTCGATAATCCTCAAGAAGGTGATATTTATATCATCAACAGTACTAGTCGTCATCGTTATGGTCATATTGCTGGATTTACAGGTTCTCAATGGGTTTCTGATTTTAGACAACGTAGTTACGATGTGTATAAAGACCCAAATGTAACCTATGAATATTATCGTCTAGCTGCTTAGTTATACAGTCAAAATCATTTAATCCATTACGGATTAAAAGATAAAAAAGGAAGCTTTTGGAATGAAAGGCTTCCTTTTTTATTACTATGCTTTTTTACTACAACACCTTTAGTCAAAACGTTTTGCGCGATTTTGATAAATTGACATGATAAATAGACCCAATGCAGCAAAGCCAACCGCTTGAATCGAGGTCAATATTTTATGTTGTGCGGGTAAAAAAGCCATTAAAAGCATAAGTGCAAGCAATGGGTAGATTGAAAATAAACTTTTAAAACCTTGAGCATAGACATTATGTTGAGCAATTTTTAGCCCAAGCATTCTTAATAAATGTGTAGAGATTCCAATTGCTAAACATATCACGGTAAACGTTGGACTTAACTTCTCAATCGTGGCGCAATAATAAATTATCACACAGGTTAAGATTGAGATGATCACTTTCATTTCACGGCTACAGCGCGCTGAATACCAAAAATCTAACATTATTTAGATACTTGTTCAGATGAGTTTTTATTGAGTAGGGAGAGTGGTGAAAAAATACAAACCGCTAGGGCCATAAAGCCAATACCTTGAGCGCCTGGGATCAAAATTTCACCATTGTTCATGTTTTTAAAAACCAATGCCAAAACTAAAGCCAGTGGAATCCAGGTCAATAAACGATAAAGAAATCCTGTTGGGCGTTGGGCTGCAAAATGAACCTTACAGTAACGACAAATCAGAAAAATAATACCTGTACCTGCAAAAAGTAAAATATTATCAGGGGTTAGAGGCTGGTACCAATATAGTCCAATAGTAACCAGTGTCAATAAAATAAGAAAAATGAGCTTCTTTGCAACCGAGACTTTAGAATCAAACCAAAATTCAAGCATAGTGATTTCGTTTAAATTGGATAATGATAATTTAGCATAAAAAAGGTGAAGCTTAGCTTCACCTTTTTAAACTTAGCCCATAAGGCTTAAGTATTTTTTTGTGGACCCCAGTCAAAAATTTTCTTTTGGTAAGCGTACCAAATCAACCACAATCCAATCAGAATCATTGGGAATGAGAGGATTTGACCTTTGGTCATCCAGCCGAACAGGATATAACCTTGATCAGCATCAGGTTCACGGAAGAACTCCATAAAGAATCGAGCACAGCCATAACCCATTAGAAAGATTGCAGATACGGCATAACGTGGGCGTGGTTTAGCACTATAGAACCATAGAATAAGGAACAGCAGCAGTCCTTCACACAGCGCTTGATAGAGCTGAGATGGATGACGAACCAAATGTAGTGGATCAGTCGGGAAGATCATACCTAGCGCAAAGTTAGGGTCAGAAACTTGACGACCATATAATTCACCACCGATGAAGTTTCCAATTCGACCAAACATCAAGCCCGTCGGTACACAGGGTGCAATGAAGTCCAGGGTTTCAAACCAAGTTTTCTTATATTTATGACACCACAAAAGCATGGCGATCATTACACCAAGGAAGCCCCCGTGGAAACTCATACCACCAGTCCAGACTTTAAATAGCCAGATAGGATCTGCTAAAAATTTGCCAAACTCGTAAAATAAAACATAGCCTACACGACCACCGAGCACAACTCCAAGTGCGCCAAAGAACACCAGATCTGAAACCATTTCAGAGTTCCAGTCAGCACGTTGTTTAGCGCGATAAGTAGCAAGTCCCCAAGCACATAAAAATGCCAAGAGATACATCAGTCCATACCAATGGACGTTGAGTGGACCCAGTGATATCGCAATTGGGTCAATATTCGGGTAGGTGAGCATTCCTAATCCTTGATTTTCTATTTTGCACAGATTTTAGCTGAAACATATTAAAAATGTTGTACATTCAATGTGTAAACTTCATGGAATGTATTTTATGTGTATTGTGGCATTGGCTTGGCAAGTTTTGGATGATTTACCTGTTTGTTTAATTTCAAATCGTGACGAATTCTACCATCGTCCAAGTACTCAATTACAGTCATGGTCGAACAGTCCGATTATTGCAGGGCAAGATTTGCAATCCGGCGGGACATGGATGGGGGTCACACCACAGGGACGTTGGGCAGTGATTACCAATTATCGTGATGGTGCTGATAAACAAACTTATCCGACGACACGAGGCTATTTGATTCAAGCTTTTTTAGCGTCAGATCAAACACCGATTCGTTTTGCACAAACACTGGAAAAGCGGCAAAGAGATTATGCAGGTTTTAACTTATTTGTGGGTGATCAACAGCAAGCCGTTTATATGAGTAATCGTGGTGAAGCCCCTCAAGTATTATCCCAAGGTGTATTTGTTGTTTCAAATGGCTTGATGTCAGACGATTGGGAAAAAACCAAGCATTTACGTAAACGCTTTACCCAAGAATTTTTACCCATGCTGCAAGTTCCTTCTATCTCTGAACAAGATCTACAATTCGCTGTTTGGGATATTTTAGAAGATGAACGTAAAATTATTCCTGATTTACTGCCCAATACTGGAATTAATCCAGAAATGGAAGCTTTGTTGTCTTCAACATTTATTCAAAGTCCAATTTATGGTACACGCTGTTCCAACTTCTTAACCATAAGTCACACTCAGATTGATTGGGTCGAAAAAACGCAACAAGGTGAACATATGGGCGAGTTCGTAGAGATTAAGCGCGCTATTGAAAAATAAAAAGCCATAGCAACTTTCATCACTATGGCTTTAAAACAATAAATTTAGTTGATTAGCCAGCAATTACACCGCCATCTTTACGTGTAATGACGACAGTTGCAGAGCGCGGGCGAGCGGTCTTATTGCTTGGATCTTTTTGTGAGGCAGGCCAGTTACTTGATGGCTTATCAAAGCTAGGTGAGTCTTCACCAGGATGCTGAACATTGATAAAAATGGCTTTGTAGTCGGGTGTCATGGTGACACCCGTGATTTCACATTGTTTTGGACCTGTTAGGAAGCGACGCAGGTTTTCATCAGTGACTTGTTTACCCACGATCGTTTCTTGCCCAGCAGATGTTATTGCTTTTGCACCATCACCGACTTTACCAGGGAGTGCAGCAAGCATCATACAGTTGGTGGTATCTGTATAAGCACCATCATCCGTTTGAATCCAAAGTACACCACGTGGGTCGAACCACATACCATCTGGCGAAGATAAATCATTGTTATCATTTAACCCAGATAAGTTGATGTTACTGGCCATTTTTGCTTCAGCACCAAAGAGGTAGATATCCCAAGTAAAGCTTTCAGCAGTGGTTTTATTATCTTTTTCATGGAAGCGGATAATGTGACCATTTACATTGCCTTTACCGCCTTCTGGGTCGCTATAGTTTCGTGGATTTGCGGCATCTAATGCATGTGCTGTACCACGGTTCGAGTTATTGGTTAAGGTGACATAGACTTCACCATTCTCAGGGTTCACCGCAACCCATTCTGGACGATCCATTTTGGTGGCTTTGACCGAATCACCGGCTAAACGTGCAAAAGTAGTGACATCGGCTTGAGATTTAAAAGGATAGACGGTATTGCTATCATTTAAACCGTTTTTACCGTATGCCAATTCAATCCATTTACCTGTACCATCATTATTGAATTGCGCAACATATAGCTTGCCACTGTTCATATATTTATCACCAGCGCGATAGCCACCATTGACATCTTTTGCATCCCACTTCGCATCAGATACAAATTTGTAGATATATTCGCCACGTGAGTCATCGCCCATATAGAAGGCCAGATTTTCCCCTTCGATTAAACGGCTTGAACGACAGTCTTCATGTGCAAAGCGACCTAAAGATGTACGTTTAACTGGGTTTGAACGACTATCGAATGGATCGATTTCAACAATCCAGCCAAAGGTATTTGCACCGTTGCGATAATCTTTGTCCGCGGAGTCAGCGACAATTGAAGAGTTCCAGCGGTCATATAAATCTTGGTTTTCGATTGCCCCAATCGCAGTTTCCCAGCCATAACGTGAGCTGGCACCATCTTTTAAACCATAGCGATTCAGTGCGATGATTTCAGCCGCACTACGTTTTGCATCGTCACCTTTATTACGCACAAAGTATCCAATAAAGTTTTCTTCTGTGGTGAGGTAAGTCCCCCAAGGCGTATAACCATTACCACAGTTATTATGTGTGCCACGTGTTTGCTTTGCTGAGCTTGAGTATTTGGTTTTCACCAAGTCTGAACCCGCAACTGTACCTGCAAAGTCCATGACCGTTGACGCTGTAATACGGCGATTAAATGGAGAGCTTTTAACAATCTCTACTTTTTGTGTGGTTGCATCTTTTTTTAATTCAATGACGGAAACACCGTGTGCATTGACTTCACGAATCACTTCATCTTCTGGGCGACGACCATTTACTTTTGTTGCACCTTTAGGGTGTAAGAAGGTTTGATTAATGTATTCATGATTCATGACCAGTAAGCCACGGTTTGAGGCTTTCGCATCATATTTAGAGCTATTGGAATTTAAGCCAAAATAACTCATACCATCATGACAATCACCTGAACGTGCTGTAAAGCTGACCCCTGAAGGAACATTGTTATCATCCCAATCAGGAATCGTTTGCGTTAATGGATCACCTAAAGCATAAAGCACATTTGCTTCATAACCAGCAGGAACAGTGACGATGTCATTGAGGTTTTTTGCAACAGGGTTAAAGGTGAGTTTTTCAGGTTTTTTAACAGTCGTGGTTGGTGTTGAATTATTGTCATCGTCGTCATTACAGCCGACTAGGCTCGATGCTAAAGCGAGAGCAGCTGCACCACTTGCTGTTTTTGTAATTAAACTACGACGAGAAATCCGTTGTTCTAAAATGTCACGGAAATGCGTGTTATTCGAAGTATTGTTATCTAACTCTTGATTTTCATGATATGGCGTGAGGTCTGTCATACGATTCCCTTTGGCTTTAAGTCTTGATTAAATGTGATTTTGATTCAGCTTAAAAACATACAGAACAAATGTGTAAGATCTCTTACTCTTATATTTAATATTGGTTAAATTTAATCTTATTTTAAGAAAGTAATAGGATTGTCATATTTGTATTTAGATAATTATTGTGCTGTTCAATTTCTATAAACATTGAGGTATGACTGATTGAGCATGATATGTACTTGGTGAATTGAATCAACAGGATTAACTTGCAGTTGTTTTTTTAATAGAGATGTTTCATAAAAAGATTTTAAGAATAGACTTCTTTTATAAACGCTTATTAAAAGCATAGATCAACATAAAATCCCCCTCATCCTAACCTTCTCCCGAGGGGAGAAGGGACTTTTAATCGCAATATAACTCACTCAACATGATCATTTTTCGACTTGTGCAATAGATCTAATGTATTTGAATAAAAGGGCAGAGGATTAAGCGATAGACTTGTTTTTATAATTTTTCTAAAAAAGAATTTAACACGCTTAAAAATAAAAAATGACCTCAAAAGAAGTCATTTAAATATTAAAAAAGCTTTTTTATTTTGATACTTAAGCATCTACAGTTTTACGTTTTTCAATCACTTTACCCAGCAATAAACCCAGCTCAAATAGCATCCACATTGGAATTGCGAGCATGATCATTGAAATTGCATCTGGTGGGGTAATAAACATAGATACGAAGAAACATCCCACCACGATAAAGCGGCGCTTTTCAGCCAATGTTTTAGTGGTGACGAAACCAACTAAAATTAACACTAAAGTAATGATCGGGATTTCAAAGGTTACGCCAAAGACCAAGAATAATTTTAGGCAGAAGCTTAAATAACTATTGATGTCCGTCATTGGCGCGACGGTTTCTGGTGAAACACTGATAAAGAAATGCAGGATGGATGGCAATGCAATAAAATAAGCAAAAGCGATCCCTGAATAAAACAGCACAATACTGCCAAACAACAACGGAAATGCTAGATTTTTTTCTTTTTCGTATAATGCAGGTTTAATAAAAGCCCAAAGTTGATAGATGATAAAGGGCATCGCCAACATAAGTGCAATAAAGAAGTTTAGCTTAAACGGCGCCATGAATGTTGCTGTAACATCAGTTGCAATCATGGTTGAGGTTGCAGGTAATTGTTTTCTGAGTGGTTCTGATAATGCAATATAGGTCTTATTGGCAAATGGCAATAAACAAAAAAATATAGCGATGAGTGCGCCAACAATTTTAAATAAATGCTTACGTAATACCATCAGGTGTTGAGTAATCGGCATTGCATCTAAAGCCGGCGTCTCGGTAGACGAGGCATCATGTACTTGTGGTGCTAATGAGTCGCTCATACAGCCACCTTCAATTGCGGTACTTCTTTAACAAGAACAATTTGTGGTCGAGTTACAGTACAGTTTTGTTTATCTAACCAAGTCTTTGACATATAAATAGCGGGGACCGTAATATCAAGTTTATGATAAGTCGTGTGAATTTTTTTATTGTCTGTTATTGCGAGATGACTTTCTTGTTCTACAGCAATTTTTTGTTGTTGTAACTCTTGCATTTGAGCCTGCATTTTTTGTTCAAGTTCTTGAATTTTTTGCATCTCTTGTTGCATTTGTTCTCTAAATTCAGAAAGACGTAATTCACGGTCGATGTCATTTTGGACACTACTAATTGCACGTTTAAATTTGCTATACCATTTGGCAGCAAAACGCGCAGCTTCAGGAAGTTTATCTGGTCCCAATACCAAGAGCGCAATGATCCCAAACACTAACAGTTCTGAAAATCCAACATCTAACATGATCTACGCCTCACCGATTAGTGTTTTACTGTAGAGTTCACATCAGTATTGCTAGTTTGATGTTCTAGTGTACGCGTTTCAGTCAGTGAAGCAGTTGTTGCCTCTTCTTCTTTAATTGATTTCTTAAAATCTTTTACGGCACCACCAACATCTTTACCTAAGTTTTTTAGCTTTGATGTACCAAATAGTAGAATCACAACGATTGCAAAAATAAGTACATGCCAAATCGATAATCCAGCCATAGTTTTAACTCCTATTTATTAACAGCTATAACAACAGTTATCCATGACAAAAAAGTGACACTAATATTTCAATTTAAAGACAGACAATATTTATAAATTATTTTGATATGTTAAACGTCATCTATATTTGGAAAATGCTAGTATGTTCATGATTTGAGAATAAGGTGTAGTATTGTGGCTTTGTTATTTCCAGTTTTATCATTTATCTGTGGGCTGATACTGGCGAATAGCAAATTTTCAGTAAACTTAAAATCACTCATGTCTTTGCTGTTGGCTCGCTTATTTATCCCAATTGTGATTATTTACAATATGGTATTTTATAAATCGGGCAGTATTGCTTTAATTTTATTTGCTTTTTTCTCATGTTTTACGCTTTTCTTTATTTATCTCACGCTGTCTAAAGATCGTTTAGCTTCATTGTGTTTTAGCTATACCAATATGGCATGGCTCGGCTTTCCGATTGCCTTGGCTATATTTGGTCCAGACAATAGTATGCTGATGATACCGCTCTATATCGGGGTTTCAATTTTTGGAAACTCTTGGGCTGTGACTTCGGTAAGTTCAGCCCCGCAATCCAAACATTTGCTTATCAAAAAAGTACTGCAATCGCCACCTGTGATTGCCTTGATCATTGCAGGGCTTTTACGTTGTTTTGATGTGCAACAGTTTCAGACAAATGATTGGATTAATTGGATTTATACTCTGGCTAAATGGAGTATGAGTTTTACCGGTATGTGTGTATTGGGGATGTGGTTAAGAAAAACCAAAGTCCATATCGAGGATTTACTGTCCAGTACTAAGCTTGCAATATTAAAGTTAGTTTGTGGTGTTGTATTGTGCAGTCTGGCTTATTTCTTTTTGCCTGTTCCACAGATCCATCAATATATTGGGGTGATGTTTTTACTGTTTTGTTTACCGCCAGCTGCCAATATTGTCGCATTGGAAACCCACTATCAAGGCACTGGGGTTTCAGCAAAATATATTGCTTCGGGAACGATAGTCAGTTGTGTGGTATGCGTCCTATATGGTGTGTTGATTCATTTTTTATAGTTTTATCTGTTGATTGGTTTATTTTGCTTCGTTTTAGATAAGTCTTAGCGATATCCATCATATTCCTCCTTTGCTCAAAGGCGAGGAGGAATCTAACAAAATCGTATGATTTTAAACGGCTGGTTTTAACTGCTTATTTCAAGCTTGCTTTAAACAATTGCATCGCCTGACCACGATGGCTAATTTTGTTCTTTTCTGCTTTACTCATTTCTGCGCTTGAAATATTTAGCTCGGGTAACCAGAACAGTGGGTCATAACCGAAGCCATTTTCACCTCGAGCTTGCTCTAGTACTTCACCTTGCCAGATCCCTTGGTAGATTTGTGGTAAAGGGTCATCTGCATGTTCAACCAATGCCAATACACATACGAACATTGCTTCAATCGCTTGATCGTCTTGGCGTAAAGGCTTAAGGTTTTCCAGCAATTTTGTATTATTGGCTGCATCATCGCCATGTTCACCTGCATAACGTGCAGAGTAAATTCCAGGTGCTCCACCTAATACGGGAACGCAAATCCCAGAATCATCAGCAATCGCAGGTTTACCTGAAATACGGCTCGCATGACGTGCTTTGATAATTGCATTTTCAATAAAGCTTAAGCCATCTTCAATCGCGTCTTCGATATTCAGTTGACCTTGAGGAATCACTTCAACGGGTAAAGCCAATTCAGCAAACAATTTTTCAAATTCAGCAATTTTGCCTTTGTTATTGCTTGCGAGTACCAGTGTTCCTTGTGATAACCAATCTTTTGATGACATGATGCAGACTCAAAATTTAAAATTGAGTTATTTTAACTTAATCTGTGTCATAAAATGCGGCTAAATTCTCTCGTCCTTTACGCTTTACTGGATATGTTTTGCTTTTGCGCTAATGCGTTTGTCTAACTGTTGTTTTAAATCGAGAACATCCTCATTTTTCATAAAACCTAGTCCAACATTGAGTTTCTGTTTGCTGTTATCTTTCATGATAAAAAGTAAATAGTATTGTCGATCAAGTAAGGTTTTTTTGAGCTCAACTTCATAGATCTCTGGTATTTTAATGTGTTTTTTAATTATCACTCGACCTTTAAAATCAATGCTTCTAATCATGTCTTGGGAGAGGGTTAAAATAGGACGTTGATTGCTAAATATCTGAATAGCTTTATTACTGAAAAAATAAGCAATGAAACCCAATGGCGTAACCAGAAATAGCGAAAAGAGACTTTTTAAGCCATTCTTCCATTCAAACATTTCCCAGATCAAAAGCACGGTCGCAGCCCAAAAGGGGCAGGCCAAAATTCCAGCAAAAATCGCCAAAGGAATCATTTGTTTGCGTGAAGCATAATATTTTTTCTTTTGCATATTTTTCCATACATAGAAGAACTCGATTTACTTCTCAAATGCACAAGTGGTGCCTTGATGGAAAATCATTTGCCATATACCGTGATCATTCATAACCCAAATTGAACTGCGTAAAGCCACATTGTATTGAGCTTGAGTTGCCACATTGATTTGATGGCTTTGATAGGTCAGTAAAACGCTATGATCAGATAACGACTGAACTTGAAAATCCTGTGCTTGAATGATGTCGGTATCTGTATCGTTTAAAAGTGCTTCAATCATTTGGGCTTTATGCACAACCCACCCTGATTTGGTAATTTCTTTAAAATCTGGATGTAACCGTTGATCAAGTATTTGAAAGTTTTGACGATCACGATGATGCAACCCGCATTCATATTGAATTAATTGTTTGAATAGGTCTTGCATTGTTAACAGACCCTAAATTGGTAGCAGTAAAAAAAGCACCCGAAGGTGCTTTTATGATCGATGAAAATCAAATTATTGAGCTTGAATCCATTGATCTGCACGTTGTGTTGCAGTACGAATTTGGTCTTGAGTTAAGTTAGCAGCCAAAGCAGTTTTTTTGGTTTGCGACATGTTAATCACTTTATTGTCTAACATACCATCACGTGTAGAAAGCTCATACCACTGATAAGCGCCCATGTAGTTTTTCTTTTGCTCTTCCATCACCGCAAGATTAAAGCTTGCACGGTTATCGCCGTGGCTTGCTGCTTTTTCAAAGTATTGACGCGCAGATGTTTCGCTTTTAGAAACGCCTAAACCATCAGCATACATACGACCAACATTCAACTGAGCCGCAGAAATACCTTGGTCAGCCGCAGCTTTAAACCATGTAAATGCTTGTTTAAGGTCTTTAGATACACCACCAGTACCAGCCTGGAAATGTGTTGCTAAATAAAATTGTGCAGCAGGTTGACCAGCTTTGGCTGCTTTTTGCAAATCTGTCACATTCATATGTGCATATTGTGCTGCCATTGCTGATACAGATTGTTGTTGCTGCGGTACATAGTCCGCATGGGCTTGAATACTCACTAGCCCAAAAAATAACGTACTGCCTAATAATAATTTCTTCATAGAGCGCTCACTCGATAAATAGCGACTTCGCCGAACAAATTCGGTATGGCTTTACTTAAAAAGCTACCTTGTTGGTTCCCATTTACAGCGAGTCGATCAATAATTTGAATCTGATTTTCAGCACATAATGCTTCAAAATCACGAAAGGTGCATAAGTGGATATTAGGTGTATTGTACCACATATACGGTAAGGCATCAGAAACAGGCATCTTGCCTTTCAGTGCAAGGAAAGACCGTGTTTTCCAATACGCAAAGTTAGGAAACGTAATAATTGCTTGTTTCCCCACACGCACCATATCGCGCAGAAGCACATCAGGTGCATCTACAGCTTGCAAAGCTTGTGCCATAACCACATAGTCAAAAGACTGGTCGGCAAAGCGTCCCAAACCGAGGTTTAAGTCTTGTTGTATAATATTTAACCCTTTGCTGACGGCAATTGCAATCTTTTCTTGATCGATTTCTAGCCCGTAAGCATGAATTTGCTGTTTTTTGCTCATTTGTGACAATAATTCGCCATCACCACAACCTAAATCGAGCACACTTGCACCAGCATTGATCCATTTTTCTGCAAGCTGTTGGTCAATACGCATTACAAAGCCTCCTTAGGTGTTGAATGAAGGTGTTCAATACCACCTAAAAATGCACGTAAGGATTTGACGTACAAGGGGATAGGGAATAGGAATGAGTCATGGCCCTGCTCAGCATCAATATCCAAATAACTCACAGGTTTTTGATTGGTAATCAAGGCGTTGACAATCTCTTGCGAACGTTCTGGGCTAAAACGCCAGTCTGTTGTAAATGACACCACTAGAAAGCGGCATTTGGTATTAGATAATGCTTTAGTCAGTGACTGTTCATATTCACGTGATGGATCGAAATAATCCAAAGCTTTGGTCATGATCAGATAAGTATTGGCATCAAAGTTACGACTGAATTGTTCACCTTGATAACGCAGATAGCTTTCAACTTGGAACTCAACATCGAAACCATACATAAACTTGCCTGATTTTAAATCACGGCCAAATTTTTGTTTCATGGCTTCTTCAGAAAGGTAGGTAATATGACCCACCATACGTGCCAAAATTAAGCCACGTTTTGGATAACTATCGAGTTCTAAATAGCGGCCATTGTGAAAATCTGGATCAGACAAAATGGACTGACGTGCCACTTCGTTAAATGCAATATTTTGTGCGGAAAGCTTTGGTGCGCTGGCAATGATGACACATTTTTGTAAACGGTCAGGATAGTCCACAGACCATTGTAAAGCCTGCATGCCACCTAAAGAACCACCAATGATTGAATACCAAACATCTATCCCTAAGCGGTCAGAGAGGAGGGCTTGAGTTTTAACCCAATCACGTACAGTCACTAATGGAAAGTCGGGACCGTATGGGCGATTTTCATTTTCAGGGTTAGGTGAAGTGGGTCCCGTTGAGCCACTACAACCTCCAATATTGTTGAGTGCGACCACGAAAAACTTCGAGGTATCAATGGCTTTACCAGGCCCAATACATGCATCCCACCAGCCGGTTTTTTTATCGTCTTCATGGTGATAGCCAGCCGCATGATGATGTCCTGAAAGTGCATGGCAAATCAAAATTCCATTTGATTTATCTGCATTGAGCTCACCATAGGTTTCCACCATGATTTCATAGCGTGGCAATACTCGACCACACTCAAGCTCTAACGGTTCTTCAAATTCAAACTTTTGTGGAGTAACGAGCCCCACTGAATCAGCTGGAAAAGACACTGGAAATGTTCACCTTAAAATTTTAGAAGGTCGATAAATTACGGATATTAGAGATATCTAAGTCATCTGTATGGCTAATAAATTAATGATATTCCATGGTTTTCACAATAGCTTTTATCATTAAAGTTCACTTCAGGATGAGTGATGATGTCGAGTAGAGTCACAATGAATGTTTTGGCTTTGCTAAGACTCAACGTATTCTTCTTTCGAAAAAATGAAAAGCTAAGCTTTATCAGAGAGCGATCTTGTCAAACTTTGCTTCTCATCGCCAAACGTGTTCACTACTCGCCAACACCAGTCTGATCTCAAACAATCATGGATGAAATTTCCATGTATCTTTTTATCTTTAAATTATTTTTAAAAGATATAAAGCTGTTCGAAGAGATTGCTTGATAACATCAATAAATAAAAGAAAGGATACCACTAGGGGGCATCCTTTCTAAAGTCTTTTAACTGATATCGCTTATACAGCAGCAGCGATGACTTGTTCAGTACTTAAAACACCTTGGTCAATCAAACGATTGGTTGCCGCTATAATTGCTTCAATTGAAGAGGTAACAATATTGTCATGCACACCAGCACCGAATGCAGATTTACCTGTACCTTGGACTTGAAGTTCGATCAATGCCAATGCTTTTGCATGTGCACCAGAACTGATACTGCGTTCTTCGTAGTTTAAGACATCAATTGGTAATTGAAGTGCATTTAAAATCGCAGAAATTGGACCATTCCCTTCACCACGTAAGCGCTGAGTTTCACCATTGATGACCACATCAAGTTCAATCACTTGGCTACCGTTTTCATCTGACAATCTATAATTTTTCGCTGAATAATGTGCATCTTTTGCAGCAACGTAGGTGTCTTTAAACAAGGTCCAAATTTGCTGAGCTGAAACTTCAACGCCTTCTTCATCTGCGACTTGTTGAACAATTTGTGAGAATTCAATTTGTAAGCGACGAGGTAAAACTACGTTATAGTTAGACTCTAATAAGTAAGCAATACCGCCTTTGCCCGACTGTGAGTTGACACGGATCACTGCATCATAATCACGACCTAAGTCTTTAGGGTCGATCGGTAAATAAGGCATATCCCAAATTTCTTCGTCTTTTTGGAACTCAAAGCCTTTTTTAATTGCATCTTGGTGAGAACCAGAGAAAGCAGTAAAGACCAAATCACCGGCATATGGGTGGCGTGGGTGTACAGGCAAGCCAGTACATTCTTCTATTGTGGCAATAATCTCATTAATGTTTGAGAAATCTAACTCACATGCCACACCTTGTGTGTACATGTTTAATGCAATTGCAGCAACGTCCACGTTACCAGTACGTTCACCATTCCCAAATACACAACCTTCAACACGATCAGCACCAGCCATGATCGCTAACTCAGATGCTGCAATACCACAACCACGGTCATTGTGACAATGTACTGAAATAATCACACCATCACGACGTTGCAAATTACGATGCATCCATTCGATTTGGTCGGCATAGACATGCGGACCTGAAACCTCAACAGTTGCAGGTAAGTTTAAAATGACTTTATTGTCAGGCGATGCTTCCCAAATTTCAGTCACTGCATCACAGACATCTTTAGCAACCTCTAATTCTGTTGCTGTAAAACATTCTGGGCTGTACTGAAAAATAAATTCAGTTTCAGGCTGTTTTGCTGCATATTCTTTTACTTTGCTTGCTGCATTGATGGCCAATTGTTTTGCACCATTGACATCAACATTCAATACTTTTTTACGGAAAGTGGGTGAGTTCGAGTTATAGATATGCACAATGGCACGTTTCGCACCTTGTAAGGCTTCAAAGGTACGTGCAATTAAATGATCACGCGCTTGCACCAAGACTTCGATATAAACGTCATCTGGAATATGACCTTCTTCAATCAACTTACGAGTGAAATCAAAATCAACTTGTGATGCTGAAGGAAAGCCAATTTCAATATGTTTAAAGCCGATTTTGACCAACATTTCGAACATTTTGAATTTTTGTTCAATGTTCATTGGCTCGAAAATCGCTTGGTTACCATCACGAAGGTCGGTACTCATCCAAATTGGCGCTTTATTGATTTCGTTATTTGGCCATTGACGGTCAGGCAAGTCTACACGTTGGTACATGCGACGATATTTTTTACTTGGATCAGCCAACATCATGAGGGAACTCCTTGTGTAGTTGTTGTTGCTCGTCTCTTGGGTAAAGGCAACTTACTACAAATATAGATTGTGTCTATCTGTTCAATTTACAAGTGTTTTTAAGATGAAAACACAGTAAATTTTCATAAATTTATACGTGGGTAACACGAGATAAATCTAAACACTGATAACTTACAAATGGTTTAACTTAAGATTAATTCTAAAACAATTATCTTGGAAATAATTTCCTTAATTTGCATAAAAAATATCAGTTGAGAGAAAAATTTCCTTTGAATGACTTAATCTTGAAAAATATATTCTTGATTGATTTCTTTTACGGTAGCAGTTCCCATTAATGCCATGGTAATTTCAAATTCTTCCTTTAAAATTTTAATCACATGGGCGACACCTAAAGCACCAGCAACAGAGAGCCCGTAGATCGCAGGACGGCCAATCAGCACTGCAGATGCGCCTAAAGCCAATGCTTTAAATATATCTGTACCACGGCGGATTCCACCATCCAAAAGTAAAGGAAAATCATGAGGAACAACGGCCTTAATTTTTGCTAAGGCGATCAGTGGGGAAATACTCGTATTGAGTACTCGCCCACCATGATTAGAAACGATTAAGCCTTTTACGCCGATTTCGACTGCTTTTTTTGCATCGAGTGGATGTAGCACACCCTTTAAAATTACAGGCAAATGGCTATGGGCAATTATAAATTCGATATCTGCCCATTTGGGTGCAATTTGCATTAAACCGTTGAATACAGGATGTTGATGCTCAGAAATTTCGGGTAGGGGAATGTGGGTGGGTGTATGGGGGTGTTGCATGCCTTCTGGCAATTGAAAATTCACCCGACGTTCACGATCACGAATCCCTGTATGCGGTGAATCTACTGTAATCACAAGCGCTTTAAAATTTTGTTGTTCTGCGAGTCGAACTAAGGCCAATGATTTCTCACGATCACCTTGCCAATACAGTTGGAACCATTTCAGCGGGTTTTCTTGTTTTAAACTTCGCATATCGGTATTGGTGAAAGTACTCAGTACGATATTACTTCCTAAAACTTCGGCTGCCAGTGCAGCCGCAGCTTCGCCCTCTGGGTGGAACAATTGTTGATGTCCAATCGGTGCAAGAAAAATTGGATGAGGAAATTTTTGCCCTAAAATTTCACATTCTGTCGAGCCTTGAGTTAAGTCATTGAGCAGTCTTGGAATCAGTTGAATATTTTTAAATTGTTGTAAGTTTTCTTGAACACTTTGCTCATCCATCGCCCCACCTTGCAAGTAGTGCCAAGTTTTTTCAGGCAGATGCTGTTCTGCTTGTTTCTCGTAATCCGCAATGGTCTGTAAATATGCTGGAATTTGAGTGAGTGGTGCTTGGATTTTTTTACTCATTTATTGATTGTCCAAATTTATACAAAACACTTTCATTACAATAATGACTTGCGAACTAAAACTTATAAATCACTCCATTCACGTAGAAGGTTGTGATAGATCCCTGTAAGACTAATCACTTGCTCATGTGTAGCAGACAGCTCGATGGTCAGCTTTTGAATATTTTGATCTAAGTCAAAGAGAATTCGTCGTTGCGCATCGGATGAAACAAAGCTTTGTACCCAAAAGAACGAAGCAATACGTGCACCTTCAGTGACTGGGTTGACTTGATGCAAGCTGGTTGATGGATAGACAATTGCATCACCAGCTGGAAGTTTTACTTCTTGTGTGCCAAAAGTATCTTCGATCACCAGTTCGCCGCCATCGTATTCATCGGGATTGGTGAGAAAAACAGTGCAAGACACATCTGTCCTTAAGTACTGATTGAGTTGAGGATGGCGACGGATAGCATTATCAACATGCATCCCAAAATTTCCGCCGTGTTGATAACAATTAAACAGCGGAGGTAAAAATGTTTTTGGAAGTGCGGCACTAAAGAACAAAGGATTTGCGTTGGCAGCATTTTGAATGATTTGTCCAAGCTCTAATGCTTGTTGAGAATCTTGAGCCAGTTGTAAATTATTTTTTAAATGCGCAGATTGATAGCCTGTTGTTGCTTTTCCATCTGTCCACTCTGCTTGAGAAAGTGTCTGACGACAATGATTTAGTTCATCCAGACTGAGTAAATTTGGAATATGTAAAATCATGATTTTCTTCCCCAAAAAAAGAAACAGCGTCTGATGAATCAGACGCTGAATTTTAACATAGATTGGCTAAATCTTAGAACTTATAGTTGATGTTGAATACGCCTTTTCGACCCTCACCAGGCATTGCCCAACCATTGTTACGGATATGGGTATAGTACTTCTCATCACTTAAGTTTTGCCCTAATAATTGGAAACTTAAATCTTTGTTGTAGCTGTAGGTTACAGAAGCATTGTGAATCACATAATCTTCAGACTTGACCTGCGGCACAAGATTATTCGTCGCTGAACGTGTGCTTAAATACATTTCACCTTGATAGGTTAAGCCATAGCCAGCTTGCCACTGATCATTGAATTGATACGTTGTCCATAAGCTGCCTGAAACTTTAGGCACATTGACCAATTTGTCACCTTTTTGGAAGTCAATATTCGGTGAACCATTGACTTTAGTTTGGTCGTATTCTCCTTCCATATAAGCAGCACTAGCGGTGATGTTCCATTTTGGCGTAATTTCACCCGCTAAACCAAGTTCAACACCTTGTACATAGTTTTTACCATCTAATTTGGCATCTGGTTGTCCAGGTATATCATTGGTTACACGGACTTTATCTTGTTCATTGCGGAATACTGCAGCAGAAACCAAGAAGTTAGGATTTGCTTGCCACTTTGCCCCCACTTCATAGGCAACTGCATTTTCAGGATCTGTACTGCAAGAATTTGCTGTGATTGCATTGTTGGTAATAGTTTGAGAACAGCCACCACTTGCAGTATTTTGTACCGGCTTTTGAGCATTGGCATAAGACAAATAAAGACTGGTTGCTGGTGTTGGTTTAAATGTCAAACCGGCATTATAGGAAATTAAATTATCAGACTGTTTATAGTTTTGACCACGAGTTACCGCTGCATTGGTTGTTGAAATAGTATCTGAACGATATTGACCGTCAGTATAATCATTACGCACACCAAGGTTAAGTAACCATTGTTCACCAAACTTTAAAGTATCAAACAAATACGCTGAATAAACATTTAAGTAGCCTTCAGCAACTCCTGTTTTACGGAAATTTGTTGGACCATGCCAAAAGTTATCTGGATTGTATACATTCATGTAAAGCGGGGTAGTAATAGAACTACCTGCTGATGAACCATTTGAATTATATAAATAGCCAGCTGTGGTAATCGCATAGTCCTCACGACTAAAGCCCACCCCAGCAACAAGAGCATGATCAATAACACCTGTTTTAAATTGCATATTGATGTTGGTGTCATTGGCAAATTGTTTATTATGGGTATCACGATAATAACCACGTGGTCCAGAAATATAATATGAACCATTTGGGACTGTAAGCGTGGTTGAACCAGAGGTTACACTACAATTCTTATAGCCCGTTTGGTTGGTATTGGTCAGTGCTGTTGGTGATGTGCCATCTGCTAAACAAAATGTTCCTTGTGGTGCAGAAACAGTTGCTTTTTGTTGAATATCACTATAACGAGTAATGGAGTTCAGTTTTGCGTTGGGACTGATCTCGCTTTCTACTTTAAATGTGACAACCTGATTTTCAATATCTTGTTGATCTAAGTTGCTATAGCCATAGTTATTTTTATCTGAAATCCCTTTGACAGGTTTGCCATTATAATAAGGAACGCCGTACTGTGGATCATTTTCATCTTTTTGATATAAGTAAGATAAAGTTGCCTTGGTGGTATCACTGATTCCAAAAGTAACCGATGGCGCAATTCCCCAACGTTTCATTTCTTCATCACGACCCGCATAGGTGTTTTGATGCCCCATTACATTTAAACGAAATGCTAAATCTTCATCTACAACTTTATTAAAATCACCTGTAAAGCGTTTATAGCTATCTGAACCAAAACCTAAAGTAACTTCATTGCTGTCACGATTCTTAGGCGTTTTAGAGACTAAATTGACACCACCACTGATTTGTCCTACACCATTTTCAACAGAATTCGCACCTTTGATGATTTCAACAGCTTCATAGTTGAATAAATCAGAACGGTTGGTTAATGCTGCATCACGTAAGCCATCTACAGTTGTGTTATAGGTTGCATCATAACCCCGTAGGTTGATTTTATCGCCATAACCACCACCACCTTCGCCAGCACCAAAACTAATGCCTGGAGTTGTTGCAAGGGCTTGTTGTAGTGAAAGTAAGCCTTGATCTTTGAGAGCTTTTTCCGTGATGACCTGAACGGTTTTAGCTGTATCTAAAATGGTTTCTGTACGTTTAGTTGAAGATGTTTTTGCTGCTAAATATGCAGTATTTTGTTCTGCTCGAGCTTGAATCGTTGGGAGTTGTACTGTTGTATCTTCAGTTGCTGCAAAAGCTAGGTTGGGTAAAGCAATTGCAAGTGCAACTGTTTTAACTTTTTTGTTTTTTACAGAATATTTTTGAGCCATTTTTTTGCGTCCATCGCAGGTTGTATCAAACTTACCCAATACTGCTCAGGAAACTTCATGACGCAATAATGGAGAAATTGTTAAGGTATGTAACCAGTGTTGCGAATTCTAATGATAATTATTTTCATTAACAATAAATATAAATGATTATTCATACGGAAAAACTGTTTAATTCATTCAATATAATTAAAGAAAGCTATAGGGGGTATGATTGATTGTGCTCGAGCATATTGCTGAAATTTAAAGTATTTTTAATGGATGGTAAAAAGTAACCATTGGAAATTATAGAATTATTTTTTAGTTAGGATTAATAACAATGAAGGTTATCTTCAGTAAAAGCCTCATCAAGCCAAATTATCGGTAAAAAATGGCCCCTATGAATAGGAGCCATTTCACTTTAATTTTTAAATTAACTATTAATATTTAAAGTTAATTGATAAGACAGCATTACGACCTTCAGCTTCTGTTGCATAGTGAGATGCATAAGCTTTAGTAAAATAACGTTTGTCTGAAAGGTTGTTCACATTAAGCTGTAAATCAACATTTTTGTTAACGTTGTAACGAGCCATTGCATCATAACGTACATAGCCAGATACATACTTAGTATTGGCAGCATCACCATAGACTTTGTCCATACCTAATGCCCCAGCACCAACAGTTAACTGTGGAAGAACTTGATAGGTTGTCCAAAGTGTTGCAGAGTTTTTAGGTACGTTAGGAAGTTGTTTGCCTTTCGCTGGGTTAGGGTATGTACATGTTCCAGCACGATTACATGACGGACCAGGGTTGGTCATTTCACTGTCTAGATAAGAGTATCCAGCCGTAATATCCCATTTGTCTGTAATTTTACCTGTAGCACTAAGCTCAACACCATCAACTTTACTTTCACCACCGTTGGTGTAGGTACCAGCATCTAATTGGATACGAGTATTTTGTTTTTCTGTACGGAATACAGCAGCTGTCAAGTTTAAGCGATCATTGAAGAGGTCCCATTTAGTTCCAACTTCATAAGTACGCGCTTCTTCTGGCTTTAAATCCATATAAGCTTGTCCGATCGCTTCTGAACCATCACCACCATCAACACCCACTGGGTTAGCTGATGTTGCATAGCTTGCATAGATCGAACCATTTTTCATAGGTTTATATGTCAAACCAGCTTGGTAAGTAAAAAAGTCTTTATTATTTTCTAGTTTAGCGCCTGTTGCATTCGTCACTTGCTCAGTGTCAAATTTGTCCCAACGAACACCTAGGTCAAGTAGCCATTGTGGATTAAATTCAATATTGTCAAGCAAATAAACTGATGTAACTTTTGTTGTAGTCGTGGTGGTATTACGATTAGCAACTGCCGAACCTAACCATTCTTCTTTCGAATTTGGATTTGTTAAAGACGTACACCACGCATCATTGATTTTACAATCGCTGTTGAAACCACCAGTTGTAGTACCTGTGTAACCTGGATAAGTGGTTGTATAGCTACCTTTATCTGATTTTTGATCACTATATTCTGCACCAACATTAAACTTATGCTTAATTGCACCAGTGTTAAATTTACCAGTCAATGCAAGTTGATCTGTGAAAATATCTGTGTCAGTAATACGTGAGTTAATACGACGCCAAACTTTATCATTTAGGACATTACCTTTTGAGTCATCTGGTTGAGTCCAAAGATAATCATTCGTTGACTTGTTATATACCGCAGTATTGGTAATGGTTAAATTGTCAGTTAAATCATGTTCTAATTTAATTGTACCAATTTGGTTTTCTTGTTTTTGAAAATCACGATCATGTAAGCCATAGTAAATGCCTTGTTTAACATCTACAGGCTTACCAAAAGTTGCTTTTTTCGAAGCATCATAATTATATGGCACACCCGAATCTGGTGTATCGTCTGACTTTAAATAATAGTAACTTAACGTCGCACGAGTCGCAGTGTCTAAGCCAAAAGTAATACTTGGCGCAATACCAGCACGTTTATATTCTGCGCCGTCATGTTGACCCGCTTTCTCATTTTGGTGTCCCATTACTGCAATACGAGCAGCAATCCCATTGCCAAAATCTTTATTGCCATCTAGGGTAATACGTTGGTAGTTATCTGTACCACCCGCAACAGAGCCTTCTAAAGCATCGCCTTTTTTAGCGACTTTAGAAATCATGTTTACACTACCACCAACCGAACCAGCACCACCAAGTGAAGATGCTGACCCTTTGATGACTTCTACTTGTTCTACTGCAAACATTTCACGGTTTTGTGAAGTGGAATTACGCACACCATCCACAAACATAGAACTTTCAGAGTTATAACCACGAATAAATGGACGATCACCATTTGGGTTACCACCTTCACCAGCACCAAGGGTAATTCCTGGAACTGTACGAAGTGCATCTGCAAGTGTTGTTACTTGAGTATCTTGAATCAGTTGTTTTGAAATAACAGATACAGATTTAGGTGTATCCAAAAGTGGCGCAACAAATTTTGTATTGGCAGACTGATCTACTTTTAAACCTTGTTCAGTCGTTGCTTGTGCTTTAATTGTTGGTAGTTTTGCGATTTCGTCTTGAGCGATGGCTGACGTTGCAATAACTGAAAGAGATGAAGCGATTGCTGTAGTAACAATCTTTTTGCGTGATTTGATAAAAGACATACTTAAACTCACTAAGAGTAGTGCAAATTTGTATGCGAATAATAATGATTCTTATTGTTTATTTCATCTGTTTGAAATTGAATTTGTCGATAGTTTTAAAAGTTTATGATGAGAAAATGAATCGAAAATGTGTTGAATTTTCACTTAACTTTTTGAAATTTATTTATTTAGTTTTATTTCTAGATATTTCAAAATGTAAATAAATTTATTCTATTGTCACTAAAGCATTTGAATTTGGTAAATTTCTCAAAATATGCGGATTTCTGGCTTTTGACTACAAAGAAGGGGATTGGTTTAAAAAAGCGACATAATGGGGAAATCCGTGACCGAAATAAAATGATTTACACAGGTGTTTTGTATATATTCAAATGTTGTCATATAATGTGGCACTTTTTGAAAAACTGTAATTATTAAATTCTATCGAGGAAGCCATGCAAGTAACTTCTGAAGCGGTTTCGGGCGTTGCCCGTCGTTTAAATGTATCTGTACCGACGAGCCGTATTAACGAGCAGTTTGAAGCTCGCTTGAAACGCACTGCCAAAACTGTGAAGATCAACGGCTTCCGTCAAGGTAAAGTGCCAGTAAACGTTGTACGTCGTGAATACGGCGCTGGTATTTACCAAGAAGTTGTAAACGACATCATTCGTGACACAGTATTTGAAGCAATTCAACAAGAAAAAATCAACGCTGTTGGTATGCCAAACATCGACAAAGTTGAAAACAAAGATGATGCTTTAGTTTATCAAGCTACAGTTGAAGTTTATCCTGAAGTTGAAGCTAAATTTGAAGGTCTTGAAGTATCACGTAAATCATCTGAAGTAACAGATAAAGACGTTGATGCAATGCTTGAAAACCTTCAAAAGCAACGCGCTGAATGGACTGAAACTAAAGGCATGGCTAAAAAAGACATGCAAGTAACTTTCGATTTTGAAGGTACTGTTGATGGTGAGAAGTTTGAAGGCGGTGCTGCTGAAGACTTTAAACTTGTTTTAGGTTCTGGTCGTATGATCCCTGGCTTCGAAGACGGTATCGTTGGTATGAAGAAAGGCGAAGAGAAAGTGATTGATGTAACTTTCCCTGAAGACTACCAAGCTGAAAACTTAGCAGGTAAAGCAGCTCAATTCAAAATCACAGTTAAACTTGTTGAAAAACAAAAACTTCCTGAAATTGATGCTGAATTCCTTAAAATCTTCGGTTTAACTGAAGAAGAAGGCGTAGAGAAATTAAAAGCTGACGTTCGCAAAAACATGGAACGTGAAGTAAAAAATGGTCTACGTAACCAAGTGAAAGGTGCAACTTTTGATGCACTTGTTGCTGCAAATGACGTAGAAGTTCCTGAATCTATGTTGGCTCAAGAAATTGACCGTCAACGTCAACAAATGATTCAACAATTTACTCAGCAGTTTGGTGCTCAAGGTGCTAAAGCATTTGACAGCAGCATGCTTCCTGATGAATTGTTCAAAGAACAAGCTGAAAAAGCAGTTAAACTTGGTGTATTGGTAAGCAAAGTATTGGCTGATGCTAAACTTGAAGTAGATCAATCACGTGTTGATGCTTATATCGAAGATATGGCTTCTTCTTATGAAGATCCAACTGAAGTGATCGAATATTTCAAAACTGATAAGCAACAACGTGCTCAAATCGAAGGCGTAGTGTTAGAAGATCAAGTTGTTGATCATATCTTAGCTGCTGCTAAAGTAACTGATGAAGTTGTTAGCTATCAAGATTTGTTAAAAGAGCAACAAGCGCGCCAACAAGGCTAAGTTGTTTGATCTAAAAAAAGGCGCTTTGGCGCCTTTTTTTATGAGCTTAAACATGGATTTAATCATTCCATTCACAATACTTATGCAAAAAATATCTGATATTAAGTTGGGAATATTTTGCATTTTCAGCAATTATCCCTCATATTGTGAACATGAGTGAAGTAACAAGAATTCAGGAATAAATAACGTATGTATGTTCCATCAATTGAAAGCGCTTTGGTGCCAGTAGTCGTAGAACAATCTTCACGTGGTGAGCGTTCTTTCGATATTTTTTCACGTCTTTTACGTGAACGTGTGATTTTTTTAACTGGTGAAGTTGAAGACAACATGGCGAATCTTATTGTCGCGCAAATGCTGTTTTTAGAAGCTGAAAATCCAGATAAAGATATCCATTTATATATCAATTCACCTGGTGGTTCAGTGACTGCGGGTATGGCAATTTACGATACGATGCAATTTATTAAGCCTGATGTAGTGACCTATTGTATGGGTCAAGCTGCATCTATGGGGGCTTTCTTATTAAATGCTGGTGCAAAAGGTAAGCGTTATTGCTTGGAAAATGCGCGTGTGATGATTCACCAACCATTGGGTGGTTTCCGTGGTCAAGCATCGGATATTGAAATTCACGCACGTGAAATTTTATTCATCAAAGAACGTTTAAATCGTTTAATGGCTGAACATAGTGGTCAAGATTACGAAACTGTCGCTAAAGATACAGATCGTGATAATTTTATGACTGCACAGCAAGCAAAAGAATATGGTTTAGTGGATCAGGTATTAAGTAAACGACCTCAAGACTAAACATTTATAGATAAGATTTAAGAATTTGGAGTGAAAATGTCCGATCTTCCTCAAGGACAAAAGCATTGTTCATTTTGCGGTAAAACGCAGTCTGAAGTCGGTAAGCTGATTGCAGGCGAGGACGCATATATTTGTAATGAATGCGTGGATGTGTGCTTAGACCTAGTGCAAACGAGTCAACAGGTGGAAACAGGTGATTGGGCAACACGTCCATTGCCAAAACCACATGAAATTCGTGCGGCTTTGGACCAATATGTAATTGGTCAAGACACTGCAAAGAAAACACTTTCAGTAGCAGTGTATAACCATTACAAACGTTTAAAAGTATCACAAACAGGTCACAAGCCTAAAGATGCGGTTGAAATTGCTAAAAGTAATATTTTGCTGATTGGACCGACAGGTTCAGGTAAAACATTGCTTGCACAGACACTTGCGCGTTTGCTTGATGTACCTTTTGCAATGGCTGATGCAACAACATTGACTGAAGCTGGTTATGTTGGTGAAGATGTTGAAAACATTATTCAGAAACTTTTGCAAAAAGCAGATTACGATGTAGAAAAAGCACAAAAGGGTATTATCTATATTGATGAAATTGACAAGATTACCCGTAAATCTGAAAACCCTTCGATTACACGTGATGTGTCTGGTGAGGGCGTGCAACAAGCATTGTTGAAAATGATTGAAGGTACTGTTGCGTCAATTCCGCCTCAAGGTGGACGTAAACATCCACAGCAAGAGTTTATTCAAGTCGATACTGCAAATATCTTGTTTATCTGTGGTGGTGCGTTCTCTGGTCTTGAAAAAGTTGTTCAACAACGTCAAGAAAAAGGTGGCATTGGTTTCACCGCAGACGTAAAGAATAAAGACGATAGTAAGAAAGTATCTGAATTATTCCGTCAAGTTGAAGCCGCAGATTTGGTGAAATTTGGTTTAATTCCAGAGTTCATTGGTCGTTTACCTGTGATTGCAACGCTTGAAGAGCTTGATCAAGAAGCCTTGATGCAGATTTTAACTGAACCAAAAAATGCATTAACTCGTCAGTATCAATATCTCTTTGAGATGGAAAATGTAGACCTTCTTTTTGAAGACTCTGCTTTACGTGCAATCGCGAAAAAAGCGTTAGAGCGTAATACAGGTGCGCGTGGTCTGCGTTCTATTTTAGAAAATGTATTGCTTGAAACCATGTATGACTTACCAAGTCGTTCAGACATTGGTACTGTGATTATCAATGAAGCGGTGATTAATGATAAAGCTGCACCAGAGTTCAAGTCTGAACGTCAACCAAAGCATGAAAATACTGAAGTTGAAAAAGTAGATTTGAAGGTATTAGATTCAAAATCAGCTTAAAAGTCTGATTCTGATTCATCCTCAGTGCAATTCATCTGAAACGTGCAAGTAGCTTGACTATTTGCACGTTTTTTATTTTTAAATGGTCATTGAAATGTTAAGCTGGCTGTAGACAATAGGGTTTATTAAAAACGAAAATAAAAAATACGCGGTGAGGGAAAATCATGCGTTACATCGGTCTAGTCGTTTTGATCAGTTGTGGGTTGGCAGCTTGTCAAAGTCATCAATCTGTTGAACAGCAACCTGCAAAAGTTGTTTCAACTTTAGATCCAATCGATTTCAAAAAAGAAGATTCGTTGGTTCATGAAAAGCTTGAACAATATAAAGTTGCATCCTTCTCTACGGGGTCTTGGGTCAATCAAAAACCGGGGCAATACTTTAAGCTGGTTAAACCACAGAATCCTCAAGCTGCAATTGTGTATTTTTATCGACCAGACAGTCGTTGGAATAGACAAGAAATTATTCCAAACAATTTTTTTCTGAATGGTAAGAAAATTCCAAGCTTGATCAGTAATCATTATTACTGGATTGAACTGGCTGAAGGTGACTATAAATTAAGTCTCAGTCGCCCATTAACGGTTTTTCATTTCCAGAAACCCAAAGTTGCTTACTTCTCAGTAGAAGCTGGCGGGCAATATTTTGTCAAATATGAAGAAGAAAAATTTCGCGGTGGGCCAAATGGTGAAGCTGGGTTATTACGTGTAGGGCCTTTAATGCAAATGCCTACCCGACAAGGCTTAAAAGAAATTGCAATGACTCAGCTAAAGACTCCTGGTCTTAATTTCGTGGCTGAAGTGACGGCGGATGGACGAGTGATCAAACCTAAAGAAAAAATCAAAGGTGAGCCGTACAAAGTGAGTGATGATGTGCACTTGGGGCAGCAGTTTAAACTTTGGAACCCAATGACTTGGTAATCTATCGCTAGATGATGTTTGATATAGAAAAGAGAGCGAGGCTCTCTTTTCTTATTTGTTTTATTGAGTATTTGCAGCCTTTTTTAAAGCATCTAATTTTTTAGTCACTTCTTTAAAGTCTTCAGATGCAGTTTGTACACTTTTTATCAGTTGGCTATTCATGACTTTCATGGTTTCTTGGGCAACTTGAGGTGTTTTTTTCAAAATCGACTGTCCAATTGCACTTGAATAAAAATCAATTTGAGCTTGAACTTCTTCAGCACTGTATATGTCTTTATAAATCTTAAGATAAATTGGTTTGATTTGATCCCACGCAACAGTTTTTTTACTTTGCTCATACATTTTGTCAGCAAGCTCATTTGCGACAATTTGTTCTTGTGGGTTGAGCTGATCTTTTTTTACTGTCATTTGAATGATCTGGTAAGCTTGTTGATCCAGCTGAGGACGAATCTGTTGTATGGTTTCTTGTAGCAGTTCATCAATATTCATAACTTTCAATAATTGTTGAACTTGTTGATCTGAAGCGGGTGCTGCAAAAGCAAAATTTGTGCTGATACATGCGCTTGCAAATAGTAAGTGTTGGAGTAATTTCATAAAATACCTATATAAGTTCTGGTTGTAATTCACATCATAAAATGGTTGAGTAAAAGCTTATTCAACTTGAAGAATTGGCTTTAAAATCGTTTCCATTTTTTCTTTCAGGGCTTTTTGATTTTCTACTTTTAGCATTTTTTCTTGAGAAAACTTTGCGGTTTCTTGCATGACTTCTGTCATAAGCGTGTTCATCTTTTGATTGATGGATTGTCCAATCGGTGTACTTAAAAAAGCGATATTGGCTTGAACTTCTTCTTCAGTAAAGGTCTTTTTAAATAATGATTTAAACATGTTGAGATATTCTGGGTCAGTCACCAGCTGCTGTTGAATATCACTATACAGCGCACTAATTTGTAGTGCTGCATTTTGCTGATCGATATTCAATGTTTGAGCCCCCGTCACTTGGCGAACAAGTGCTTCTGCTTGATCATCAAAGTAGGGTTGCATATCACGAGTACTTTGTTTGAATATCTCTGAGATATTGGAGAGTTGCATCAATTTGTCGACACTTTTATCTGTCGCTGGAGATGCAAAACTTGACACTGTGATACAGCATAAACTTAAACTTAAAACGAACTGCATAATTTTCATAGGTTTTCCTTTATTTATTTTCATCTAAATGATGCAATTGCTGAATAATTTCTCCAATTTTATTGCGATATTGTTGGATAAATTGAGGGTCATTGATTGCCTTATGAATAGCAGCATTGCTTTCTATGAATATTTCTGTGTCAATATTGGCAAGTTTTGTGTACAGCTCTTGGCTTGACGCTGTGTCACGCTGAGAGAGCATTTCAATTTCTTGAGAACTTAACGATTCTAAAAGAATTTGTTTGGTTTGGGCGATAAATTGTGGATCTCGGAGAATATTTTCTGGTATTGCTTGATAAATCTCTACAATTTGAGGGATGATTTGTTTTTCTTTATCAGTGAGTTCTATTGTACTTGATCCGTTTTTGATTAAATTTTCTGCTTGATTTTGATAAATCCTTTTTGCACTTTCATTGTATTGTAGGCGCCATATTTGATTGGTAATGATACCTTGTGCTAGTCGGTCAACGGCATCACTATCAGTGTTCGAAGCAAAACTTTGAATAGAGATCAAGTATACAAATAACCCCGGAAAAATAATATATTTTATAAAGTTCATGATCTGACTCAAAATAAAAAGCACCCTAATCATAGAGTGCTTTTTAAGTGATGCTCAAGCTTAATCTAAGCTTTAGATCAGATTATTGTGCAACAGCATCAACCACTGGGATTTTACCAATTTTGGCTTGCCAGATTTTAGGTGCAGTCGCATGAATAGAAGTACCATTGACATCAACTGCAACAGATACAGGCATGTCTTGTACTTTAAATTTATAAATAGCTTCCATACCTAAGTCAGCAAATGCAACAACTTCTGCTTCACGAATGGCTTTAGATACTAAATAAGCAGCACCACCAACAGCCATTAAATAAGTCGCTTTATTGTCTTTGATTGCTTCAACAGCAGCAGGTCCACGATCCGCTTTACCAATCATACCGAACAAGCCAGTCGCTTCAAGGACTTGACGTGTGAACTTATCCATACGCGTTGCTGTTGTTGGACCAGCAGGGCCTACAACTTCATCGCCTACAGGATCTACAGGTCCCACGTAGTAAATGAATTTACCTTTGAGATCTACAGGTAACTGTTCGCCTTTATTTAACATGTCAACCATGCGTTTATGCGCAGCATCACGACCTGTATAGATGGTACCGTTCAATAATAATGTATCACCCGGTTGCCATGAGTTCATTTCTTCCTGTGTGATATTGTCTAAGTCAACACGTTTAGATGTTGACGTATCCCAAGTCACTTCAGGGTAATCTGAAAGTAAAGGCGCTTGAATATGCGCAATACCTGAACCGTCTAACTGGAAATGAGCGTGACGAGTTGCAGCGCAGTTTGGAATCATACCGACTGGTTTACCAGCAGCATGACAAGGGTAGTCTTTGATCTTAATATCAAGTACTGTGGTTAAACCACCAAGGCCTTGTGCACCGATACCCAATGCATTTACTTTTTCAAAGATTTCAATACGCAGTTCTTCGATTTGGTTCTGTGGACCACGGCGAAGTAACTCGTCCATATTGATTTCTTCCATGAGTGATTCTTTTGCAAGCATCATGGCTTTTTCAGCAGTACCACCAATACCAATACCGAGCATACCAGGAGGGCACCAACCTGCACCCATCGTTGGTACAGTTTTAAGTACCCAATCTACGATCGAGTCAGAAGGGTTAAGCATTGCCAGTTTAGATTTATTCTCTGAACCACCACCTTTCGCTGCAACAGTAATATCGACTTTATTGCCTGGAACGAGTTTGTAGTGAATTACAGCAGGTGTATTGTCTTTGGTATTTTTACGACCAAAAGCAGGATCTGCTAAAACTGAAGCGCGGAGTACGTTGCTGTTTTCTAAATAACCTTGGCGTACACCTTCATTGATCGCATCATCTAAGCTCATGGTTAAATCAAATTTAACATCTAAGCCCACGTCAACAAATACGTTAACAATACCAGTATCTTGACAGATTGGACGATGACCTTCTGCACACATACGTGAGTTAATTAAGATTTGTGCAATTGCATCCTTTGCAGCTTGGTTCTCTTCACGATCATAAGCACGGCTCATCGCTTGGATAAAGTCTTGTGGATGATAGTACGAAATGAACTGAAGCGCGTCCTTGACCGATGTGATCAAGTCATCTTGTTTGATAATAGTTGTCATATCAAAAATCTCTTGAGCGGGCTGTTAGCTAGCGGGCTAAATTATACGTGATATTGCTTGTTTTGTGGTGGCTTAGATCTAATTTCAGCCTAAAGTTTTATGATTTTATTTGAGAAACTCAGCTTATATTTTGGTTGATCAAGTCAACTTTTCTACTTTTTATATAAATGATGATAAAGCAGTATTGAAATAAATTTTCAGATTTTACAGGGTGAAAAGCTCTATACTCTGTTGAGTCAAAAGCTTGGGCTAAATAACAACAACATGGAAAACTATACGCATCTTGCGGAAAATATTATTGAAATTTATAAAAAGCATGCTCGTGCATGGACTCAATTACGCGGGGAGTTTCTTTATGAAAAAGCGTGGTTGGATCGCTTTTTAACTTTAATTCCAGCTCACTCCCATATTCTGGATTTGGGCTGTGGCTCTGCAAAACCAATTGCTGCTTATTTGATTGAGCAAGAGAATACTGTGACAGGTGTTGATAGTTCTGATGTGATGATTGAAATGGCGAAAAAGAATTTTCCTGAGCACACTTGGATTTTAGCTGATATGCGAACAGTAAATTTAAATCGCAAGTTTGATGCAATACTCGCTTGGGATAGCTTTTTTCATCTTACACAACAAGATCAGCGAGATATGTTTGAAATTTTTAATCAATATACAAAAGCTGGCGCTGCTTTAATGTTTACCAGTGGACCATCACAGGGTGAAGCGATTGGAGAGATGTTTGGCGATGCTTTATATCATGCTAGCTTATCATCCGCTGAATATCATGAATTATTGAAAAAGTATAATTTTGAAGTGATAGAGATGATTGCTGAAGATCGTGATTGTACAGGGCATACTGTTTGGTTAGCCAAGCGAATATAAAATATCTAGATGAATGTAAATTAAGCAACAAATAAAACGATATCAAAAAATTTAAGATTCTCAAAATGAGAGACTCATATATTTAAATTATGAGTATTAAAGTTATTTTTTAGTTTGATTTCTAAATAAGCAAAAATAATCCTATCCATTTTAATGTACTTTTCACGGTTATTTTTTAAACCATTATCATTTTGTAGTTAAATTAGCATGTTATTGTAATTTTTGGTGAGAAATTGTATTATAATGATAACTATTCTCATTATGTTTTCGGTGCAATCATGCCTTTTGTTAAAAAAAGCTTAACTTTAATGATGCTGTCGACGGGAGGACTTTTCGTTTCCTCTCTAACACTTGCAAATACAGATAGTAGTGAAGAACAGAAAAAAAATACGGCAACGCTTCCCACGATTGTAATTGAAGCAATGAATGATGGTGATCCAATAAAAACATATGTGGACTATAAACAAGCCAATGTTACGAGAAATGGTTTAGATAAAAAAGATATACCACAAACGATTGATACAATTGATGTTGCTAAATATAAGCTTTATGGCGCAAATGATCTAAGTGTTATGTTACAAGGCACACCAGGCGTTTCAACCAGCTACGATATGCGTGGTGATGGTATTATGCTGCGTGGTTTTAGTGCGGATTCTGGTGATATCTATCGTGATGGTGTGCGTGAAAGTGGACAGATACGTCGTAGTACCGCCAATGTTGAACGGATTGAAATTTTAAAAGGCCCAGCATCTGTATTATATGGCCGTAGTGGCGGTGGTGGTGTGATCAACATGGTCACCAAATATGCAAATTTTGATTCGGGAAGTTCAGTTGGAGCATACGCGGGTTCTTATAGCAATATTGGGGGAACACTTGATATTAATAAAGTACTCAATGATAACTGGGCTGTCCGTTTGGTTGGTGAAAAGTCCGATACCAATAGTTTCCGTTCTGAAATCGGCGCCAATGAGGAAATGATTTCTCCAAGTGTGACTTATCGTAGTGATGATGAAAAGCTACTTTGGACAACGGAATTTACTTACGACAATATAAATCGGGTTCCTGATCGTGGTCCTTCTTATGATAATTTGCCTACAGGAACTTCAATTAAGATGGGGTTTGCTCAACCTGGTGATTATGTAGAAGATATTCTTCAAACAATGCGTACAGATGTTAAATATGAATTTGCACCAAATTGGAAATTTCACTGGGGTTTAAGTCATCGTGAGTCGGAACAAAATTTTGATCATTTTTATTTAGGCTCTATGTGTACTGCTGACGTGAAGCCAACGAATACAAATAAAGGATGTTATAAAGGTTATGTCAATCAAATTTATTATTGGCAACAGACAACCAATAAAACCACAACCAATACTTGGGATATAACCGGTGAATTTAATACTGGGGCGATTAAACATAATGTTCTAGTTGGTACAGACTGGTCTTATGAGCAGAGAGAACCCTTACTATCAAATAAAAATAAGGATGGCTCATTGATTTATGGATTTGTTAATCCATTAACAGGTGATCGTTTTAGTAACCGTGGTACAGGGCATATTACTACCTCGCATAATTATAATGAAGGAACAAATTATGCGCTTTTCCTTCAGGATCTCATTAGCTTTAATGATCAGTTTAAAATGATGTTAGGTGGGCGATATGATTACTATGAGTCAAAAACTACAAATAAGTTAGAGAGTTCAACCTCATACCGACAATCACGCGAAGTTAAAGATGAGACATTTAGCCCAAATGTAGGTTTTGTATGGCAACCCGTCCCTGAACAAAGTCTATATGCATCTTATAGTCGAAGTTTTTCACCCTTTGGCGGCAATATGGGCGTAAATGTTATAAATGCAACCGATGATCTAAGTGCATTTAATTATGAGCCGCAATATCTTGATCAATATGAAGTGGGTATAAAAAGTGATTGGCTGGATTCTAAGCTAAACACACAATTATCTGTATTCAATATTAAAAAACATAATATCCGCGCGCGTAAAGATCCAGATGATAATAACTCGCCTTATGTTGTTGTTGGGGAAAATGAATCTAAAGGATTAGAGTTTAGTTTTATTGGTCAGGCACTGAATAATATTTATGTTCGAGGTGGCTATGGTTATACAGATGCCAAAATTACTAAACATGATGTAAGACCTGAATTAGTAGATAATAATTTACGCAATGTTTCCAAGCATACAGGCAATTTGTTTGTACGTTATCTTCCTACCGAAAAAATTTATGGCGAGATCGGTGCAACCTATATGGGGGATTATTATACTTCTGATGAAAATACCACCAAAATGCCAGATTGGACTCGTGTAGATGCTGCAATTGGTTATAAAGACGATAAATGGGGCGCGACGATTGCTGTGAATAATTTAACAGATAAAGAATATTGGCGTTCAAACGCTATGCCTGGTACTCCGCGTAATTATTTATTCCGCGTGAACTATTTCTTCTAAGCTTTAATTTCATTGAAAATAAAGCTGTCTAATACCCATGATAGCAATTGAATCGATGGGGATATCAGTATCATAAAGACTGATTTATGAATTTTTGGTCAGTACATTAAAAAAACCACCCAATTGATTTGGGTGGTTTTTTATGTCTAGTAGATCAGAGTTAATGTGCAGCTTGTTGTTCTGACTGAATCGCCGTCAATGCAATGGTAAAGACAATATCATCTACCAATGCACCACGAGACAAGTCATTTACAGGTTTATTTAAACCTTGCAGCATAGGACCAACACTGACGACATTGGCAGAGCGCTGAACTGCTTTATAGGTGGTATTGCCTGTATTGAGATCTGGAAAAATAAATACATTGGCACGCCCAGCCACTTGAGAGTCTGGTGCTTTAGAGCGGCCAACACTTTCAACAGATGCAGCATCATATTGTAAAGGGCCATCAATCAGTAAATCTGGACGACGTTGTTTGGCAATTTCCGTGGCTTTTGCAACTTTTTCAACTTCCGCACCTGCACCTGAAGTGCCGGTTGAATAAGAAATCATGGCAATACGTGGATCAATACCAAATGCTTTTGCCGAATCTGCAGATTGAATTGCAATCTCCGCCAATTGTTCAGCATCTGGATCTGGATTGATTGCACAATCACCATATACATAAACTTCGTCTGGCAACAGCATAAAGAAGATTGAAGAGACCAAAGAGTATTCTGGTGCAGTTTTGATCAGCTGGAATGCAGGGCGCACTGTATTGGCGGTGGTATGTATAGCACCAGAAACAAGTCCATCGACTTGATCAAGTGCCAGCATCATCGTACCGAGTACCACAGTATCTTGCAGTTGCTCACGTGCTTGTAATTCGTTGAGTTTGCCTTTGCGTAATTCAACCATTTGGGTCACGTAGTTTTCACGGATCAGATCTGGATCAATAATTTCTAAATCCACAGGGAGTTCAATATTACGTGCTTTGGCGACTTCAAGTACCGCTTCAGGTTTTGCTAATAATACACATTGTGCAATACCGCGGGATTGACAGATCGCTGCGGCTTGAATGGTACGCGGCTCATCACCTTCAGGCAGTACAATACGTTTTTTTGCAGCAATTGATTTTTGTACCAATTCATGACGGAATGCAGAAGGGGATAAACGGGGTTTATAGTCACCATTTAACATCTGAGTCAACCATTCTGGATCAATATGGCTTGAAACGAAGCGGGTCACTTGATCGGCACGTTCAGTATCATCCACAGGAATTTCATTGCTTAAATTGGCAAGTTGCTGTGCTGTTTCAAAGGTACTGAGTGGTGTATGTAAAATCGGTAGACCATTTTTGATTGCAGACTGGCAGAACTCTAAAACCAATGGATTTGGCTCATGGTGTTCAGTTAAAACTAAACCTGCGAGTGGAATGCCATTGCTGGTGGCTAAACTACTGGCCAATAACACATCAATACGATCAGAAGCACTGATAATCAGTTCGCCTGCAACGAATTTTTGTAGCTCATGTTCAATATTTGACGCAATTAAGCTGCTGTGCAATACACGGCGTGTGCTGGCTTTGCCCTGATTAATCCATGTGGCTTGAATTTGTTTTGCTAGGTCTGAGATGCGTGGCACACTCAATGTATCACTGAATGGAACTAAGCCAATAATTGGAAACGCTGCTGAACCAATGTGTGCATAAGTTTTTTGAATTTCAGTTTTAAATTTTTCAGTATCTGCAACTAAACGTAGGCTTGGATCAATGGTCACTGGAATTTGTGCAGATTCAGCAGGTAGGCCACGGGTACGCATAAACAATACGCCTGCATTACGCGATGATGATGCACCACCAAAATTACGTACTTGTGCTTCAACTTTTTCAGCAGTTTGTTCTGGTTTTTCGATATTGGCATTGCTGACAAAGACAACTTTTGCATCCAAAGCTTGCGCCAAAGAGGCATTTAAATCACTGGCAAAAGCATCACGTGCAGTAGGGACTAAGCCTTCTACAATCACAATGTCATGGGACTTTGCAATTTGGCGTTGTAAGCTGACTGCTTCTTCAAGGAGTTCATCTTTTTCACCATCATTGAGCTGTTGTGTGATTTTTGCATAAGCTATCGGTTCAACCGTATCTAATTTTGAGATATGACGGTAAAGCGCAGTGGTGCGGTCTGGTTCAGCGATTAATTCTTGTGAAAATGGTTTTACAAAGCCTGCTTTAACGCCTTGGCATTCCAATGCATAGACTAAACCTAAACACGCAGACGTTAAGCCTACGCCTTCCCCAGTTGGAACCAATAAAATTGTTTTCATAGACGATTCTTTAATCAGTAAAAATATGTGAATTCATGGGTAAATTGAAGATGAATATCTCCAATCATCTGTTTCACTCAACATCTTTTTAGTGGTGTATACAGTGATCGCAAAACGATATTCATCTACAAGACTGGTTTATATATTTATGCTAGCTTAAATGATTGCAAAACAGCTTTATATCAAAAAACTGCTCAAGATCATTGTCAATAACGAGCTTGAGTATGCTGCTATTTCAACATGTATACCCAAAGCTCGTACAAGACTTACGACAGCTTAAGCTGTCGCAATATCAGATTCAGGCTTTTTTGCGGCCTGTTGTACCTCGTGTTCTACAACATGAACAGTTTCTTTAGCAATACGACCTTCTTCATCGGTTGGTATTACCCAAATTTGAGGACCTGTTCCAGCATCAATTCGACCTTCTGTACCACGTTTTAAACCATCATTCTGTTCTTTGCTGAGGTTGAAACCGAAGTGTGGTAAGTAAGCAATCGTTTTTTCACGAATATAGGCAGAATTTTCACCAATACCGCCTGTAAAGAATAAACCATCGATACGCGGTAAACCGCAGCTTAATGCCGCAAGTGATTTGGCTAGACGATAACAGAATACTTCAATCGCCAAAGTCGCATCTTCATTACCTTGTTCTGAAGCTTCAATCAAGGTACGCATATCATTTGAAAGATCTGATAAGCCCAGTAAGCCTGATTCACTGTTCAGCATTTTATCAATTTTATAGATGTCCCAGCCTAGATTTGAAGCAAGGAAGCTATGAATACTTGGATCAACATCACCACTACGGGTACCCATGACCACGCCTTCAAGCGGAGTGAGTCCCATGGATGTATCGACACTTTGACCATTCCAGATGGCACAAGTTGAGCTACCATTGCCTAAGTGTGCTGTTAACCAACCGCCATGTTTGTAGCTACCCGCAAGTTCAGAACCACGTTCAGAAACATAGGCATGACTGGTGCCATGGAAACCATAACGACGAACATTATGTTGTGTATACAGGAACTTTGGTAAAGCATAACGATATGCATGTGCAGGCATGGTTTGATGGAATGCTGTATCAAATACTGCAACTTGCGGTAATTCAGGGAATAGACGCATTGTCGCATCGATACCGACTAAATGAGCTGGGTTATGCAGCGGTGCAAGTGGTGTTGCTTCACGAATTTTTTCTACAATTTCAGGCGTCAATAACTCAGCTTTGGTTAAGGTACCGCCATGAACAACACGGTGTCCAATGGCTTGAGGTTTATACTGTGATAAACGACCTAAGATGGTTTCTAAAGCTTTTTCATGGTCTGCATAGGGAATTGAAAGCTCAAGCGGTTGATTGCCTGCCGTGATTCCTTTAATACGTGCATCAGCAGAGCCTAGGTTTTCTGCTAAACCAAAGATTCGATCTTCACGACGTTCAGAAACAAGCGCATATTTGATTGATGAAGATCCGCAGTTAATTACTAATACTGATGTAGACACGTTTGAATACCCGAAATTATAATTTAAAAAAGTCATCCTGATTGATCTGATTATGCTTGTTTATAAAGGGCAAATTAGATCAGCAGTCATGTTGTACCATGTGTAGTTTTTTTGTCCTAGATAGACTTTAGGTGATTAGACTTTTGGACTATCGACCTGATATTGATTAATAATTAATATTTATCAATTGATTGTTAAAAATTATCACTCATTGTTGTTTTAATCTATCAGCATTATATAGTTTCTTGTAAATAATCTTGTCCTATCCAAAGGCAATCTTTGCGTCTTTCTAAAAGACAAGCACATATTTTTTATCAAAATTTTAAATTGATTGACGTTTTTAACTGTGTATTAAAAATAAAAAACTCAGCATTTATGTTTAGGATAAATGCTGAGTCGAGTTATTCAAGCTTGGAATCAATGACGAATTTGGCCATCACCTAAAACAATCCATTTTTGCGAGGTTAAACCTTCAAGACCGACTGGGCCACGGGCATGAATTTTATCCGTAGAAATACCAATTTCAGCACCTAAACCATATTCGAAACCATCAGCAAAACGCGTTGAAGCATTGACCATGACTGAGCTTGAATCTACACGGGTCAAGAATTGACGCGCTAAGCTAAAGTTTTCAGTGATGATCGCATCGGTATGATGTGAGCCATATTTGTTAATATGTTGAATGGCTTCTTCAATCCCCGTCACAATTTTCACTGCCAAGATTGGACCTAGATATTCTTCATACCAATCTTCTTCACTGGCTGGTTTTACAGCATTGCCTAAGATTTTTTGAACATTGATACAGCCACGTAATTCAACGTTTTTTTCTGCATAAAGCTCAGCGATACGGGGTAAAAACTCTTCCGCAATTTTTTCATCAACCAACAATGTTTCCATTGCATTACACACACCATAACGATGTGTTTTTGAGTTTAATGCGATAGGAAGTGCTTTATGTAGATCTGCCTGCGCCTCAACAAAAACATGGCAGTTTCCATCGAGATGCTTAATCACAGGAATGGTTGCTTCATTGGTAATGCGTTCAATCAAGCCTTTACCACCACGAGGTACGATGACATCAACATATTCAGACATGGTAATCAATTGACCCACGGCAGCACGGTCAGTGGTGTTAATCACTTGTACACAAGTTTCAGGTAAGCCCGCTGCTTTTAAACCATGTTGAATGGCTTCAGCAATTGCTTGATTTGAATTCAATGCTTCAGAACCACCACGTAAAATGATGGCATTGCCAGATTTTAACGCAAGTGAGGCCGCTTCAAGGGTAACGTTTGGGCGTGATTCATAAATCATACCGACCACACCTAAAGGCACGCGCATTTTACCAATCTGAATACCTGTTGGACGGAAAGCAAGATCCGTGATTTCACCAATCGGATCGACAAGACTGATGACATCTTTTAAGCCTTGTAACATCCCTTTAAAGCGTGTGGGGTTGAGTTCTAAACGATCAAGTAAAGCACTATCCAATTGATTGTCACGACCTTTGCTCATGTCAATTTGGTTGGCGGCCAAGATTTGCGGTTGACTATTTTCCAAAGCAGTATAAATCGCAGATAAGGCATTATTTTTTGCAAGTGTAGTTGCGCCTGCCAAAACACTAGCGGCTTGGCGTGCTTGCTTCCCTACAGTTTGCATATACTGTTCAATTGAGTCTTGCATAGCAGTTTATTTGATCATTAAAAATTTCCCTTTGATAGTAGCAGTCTAAGTAAAGCCAAGGAAGTATTTCACTGAAATAAACTTATTTTGCAGCGTTGAAGCGTTAAATATCTTGCAAAATCTTTTGCCATTTAAACTGGATAAACGGTCAATTTAGCGATTGCGTATAAATCACACATCTGTAAGAATGAAACAATAAGGACATTGATGTGATACAGAATTCATACGTATCACGAATTTGAAAGAATAATGCGGGTCAAAATCTTGCATATTAAAAGAATAAAGCAAGGATGGAGGAAGGATATGAATTCCATTATCCAAATGGACACAGAATCACACCAATCTTTATCAAGCTTTGGTTTTTTCGACATATACCACAAAAACAGTTTTAAGCAGGAGCCAAGAACAACTTGGATTGATGGTTGGAAAATTGAGTATATGGCGATCGCAGATCCACGAACAATTCACAATACACCGATTGTGATTGTGGGCGGAGCGTTCCAAAACTTTAACTCATATAAGTATTGTGTTGAGCAGTTCTTTGAAAGTGGCCCAGTCATTTTGATTGATTTACCCTCTATGGGCGCCAATCAACAAATCACCAATATCGACTCTGGTTTATCTGCGGGGACATTAGAATTACCTGATCTTTCTCGTATGTTGGGGCAGTGGCTTGATATTGTGGCGATTGAAAAGGTTGCCGTGGTGGGGATTTCTTTAGGTTCTGTGATTGCTTCATTTTTTGTTGATCAACGCCCTGAACTGGTCGAAAAAATGATCTTGATGGGGGTGATGCAAGAAACCCGTAAAAGCTGGCGCATGCTGTTAGAAGAATCATTGATGTTGATGAAAGAGCAACGTATGGGCGAGTTTGGTCAGGCCGTGATTTTGTATTTAGTCAATCATGCCAAGCTTGATAAAACGCGCATGTCGCCCACAGCCAAAAGATTGTTCTTTAAGCAAATGGCTGAGTTTTCAAATACTGAACAAGAACGTTATGAAATCAATTGTAATCGTCTATTACGCTTAAGCCATGTACCGGTTCCTCAAGTGAATACACTGGTGGCATGTGGTCAATACGACAGTTTTACCTTACCTCATGAAAATGCAAACTTTGCTTTGCAATGCCCAGATATGCAGTTTGCAATGATTGCCAATGCCGATCATGTTCCACAATTACAACGTCGTAAAGAAACCATGACTTTATTCACCACTTACTTAAAGGGTGGGTCGATCCAAGGACTGGATGGTATTGTCAATTTCACACGGGAACAAATGCAGCATATAGAGCGTCGTGGTGAAAATCGTATTCAAGTGCTTGATCCACATCGTCAGTTGACACATCGCCATTCAAATAAAGTGATTCAGGTTGACGTGGTTGATTTAAATTACTTTGGTTTATTGATGCGTTTTGATCATCAACAAGATTTAGCTTTTGTAAATCAACATACCCGTGATTTGGCTTTAAATTTAAGTGATGATGAAGGTGAGTTTGCGATTGAATGTTTGATTTTTGAAACCTCTGCAGCTGGTGTTCGCGCACTATTTAAGCATGGTAGCTTTGAAAATGCAGATCGCTTATTACGGTTTATTGCACGCCAGACTCAAGCAGTGCAGTTATGTATAGCGCAAGAAGGCGCGGTGGCTTAAGCTTTTGATATATTGATCTGTTAAAAAACCAGTCTTTTTGGACTGGTTTTTTTATTTCTAAGAATTGAAGTATTTAAATCTCGAAGTGTTTACGTTTCGAAATATCAATAAATGATTACTTTAGCGTTGTGCATCAATCATCCACACCAAATCACCTAGATGTTCTTCAGTATTGTATTCAGTTGAATCTGTATTGAAATAGACACGGGGCTGAATCACTTCAACTTTTTGAAAACCAGCTTGGTAGATAAAATTTCTGACTTGTTCTGGTGTGACAAAGTGAAAAGTAAAAGCACTTCGTGACATGACTTTTAACAGCTTGCTGCTGTTCCAAATCACTTTTGCCAATTTATTTTTTACCGGTTCAGGGTAAAGGTCGGTGAGATAATGCAGACTGTTAAAGTCTTGCCCATAATGGGCAATCGATTGAATCAATTGTTGTAACAGTTCTTTAGTGAAGTAGTTAATTAAACCTTCACTGATCACGACAAGTGGTCGTTGTAGATCAAATACTTCAAAGGCTTTTTTAAAATCCTCTGTAAATAAGTCAACAGACAACACATCTGGGCTATTGTGATCAATTTGCTTAAGCGCCGTTTGCTTGGTTTTTGCCATATCGGGTAAATCTAATTCACGATAATCAATCAAGGGATAATGTTGCCTAAACCACCAGCCTCTTGGTGACAGTCCAGCGGCTATTTCCAATACTTGTAAGTCAGGAGACTGTTCAATCAGTTCAGCTAAACGCTCATCCAACATGGTATGACGTTGCTTGAGTGTGGTACGCATACTGCCACCGACATATTTTTCTCCCCAACTTTCTATTGGGTGGGCAATCATAGCCAAAGTTTTACCTTTGGATGTGGCGAATAAGGGATGAGAAATGCCCATTTGATACCAAATATAGCCTGTGTAATGGGCTGTAAATGAAATATGGCGGTGCTTGGAAAGTTGCTGGTCTGACATAGTTATCCTTAACTTTTATTTTTTCTAATGGGGCATGATGAAAAGCAATTAAAACACGACTAAAAATTTAATTTTGCTTCGTCGTCTTTTTTTGATCCTTTGCAACCCTCCTGTTGAAAGGAGAATAGCTTAAATCTCTTTAATCATTAAAGGCTTAAGGTTTGCCCCCGCTTGTCATCAAGAGGGGCAGGGAAATTGAGTCATTTAGCGCAATATCCTAAGGATATCTCTCTATTGGTTTTAAAGTGAATTTTTAAATTCTTCAATGACTTTTTTGACAGCTTGCCATTCATGTCCAAGATCAAATGTTTCATCAATACTGATCTGAGGAATTTTGCCACGCATACGTTCTAAACGTGCTTGATTTGGCAAAGGTAGGTTTGCGATCCCAGCCAATGCAATACATGCCGATTCACGGTTATTGCACACCAAGCCCATATCACAACCTGCGTCGAGGGCAGCACGGATACGTGCATCTGCTCCACCTGCAACACAAGCTGCTTGCATGCTTAAATCATCCGAGAATAACACACCATCAAATTGAAGTTCTTGGCGTAAAATCGTTTGAATCCAGTAAGGTGAAAAACCAGCAGGATTTGGATCTACTTTTTCATATATGACATGTGCAGGCATAAGTGCATCCAGCTGGGTTTTTAGCTGAATAAAACTTTGCATATCCTTGTTATAAATGTCTTGGTATTCACGTGGATCAATTGCTGCAGCAACATGAGAATCTGCTTTCACAGAACCATGCCCAGGAAAGTGTTTTCCTGTGGTTGCCATACCCGCACGTTGCATTCCTTTCATAAATGCGCTGGCAGGTGGCACAATATCTTGTACATTTTTTGCAAAGGCACGATCGCCAATCACATCACTAATGTCATTCAGATCTAAAACAGGTGCAAAACTAAAATCAATCCCCACTGCAAGCACTTCAATTGCCATGAGCCAACCACATTGTTCAGCCAGGGTTAAGGCTTTTTCAGGTTGAGTTAAGTAAAGCTCACCAAAATGCCCCATGGCTGGTAGTAGGGTAAAACCTTGTTTTAGGCGTTGTACTCGTCCACCTTCTTGATCAACGGCAATAAGAATGTCGGGGCGAATTTGGCGCATATGATCGGTTAAAGCGCGAACTTGAGCGGGTGATTCTATATTTCTTGAAAATAAAATCATGCCACCGACTTGCGGAGTTTGTAATAGTTCAATATCTTCTTGAGTAAGTTCTGTGCCTGCAATATCAAGCATCAATGCGCCGATCATAGGAATCCACGGTTGTATTTATATAAACTGGGAAACAATACCCGATTTCTGCAATGATTTGCTACACTTACTCAGTACAGATTATGCTAAAACTACACAACATAAACAGATAAAGTCGTTTAAGATATTGAAACTGTTGAGTTCAGATTGAAAAACGATATAGAAATTGGAAAACCCAAGGAAGTATTAAGAATTTATGAAAATTCAAACTCTCGCTTGCGCTATAGCACTTGCAACAGGTGGTTTATTCTTTACTCATACCATCAATCAGGCAATGGCGGAAACCAATGCTACAAACGTGTCTCAATCGATTCATCCTTCACAAGATCAAGCCTTAGTGACACGTCAACTTGCAACATTGATTGACCGTCAGCATTATTTGAATATGCGTTTAGATGCAAATACATCAAATCGTATTCTAGACATGTATATTGATAGCCTTGATCCAGAGCACACCTTATTTTTAGCTTCAGAAATTGAACAATATAAAAAACAATATGGTGCAACACTCGGCGCAAAATTAAAAGCAGGCGATTTGTCTGGCCCATTTGCGATTCATGCGCATTATCGTGCACGTTTAAAAGAATTTTATGAATTTGAATTGGCTGAACTTAAAAAGACACAGAACTTAAATCAGCCAAATGAATTTATTGATGCAGATCGTGAGAAAGCTGAGTTCTTTGCCAGCAAAGCCGAGTTGCAAAACTATTGGCGTAAGATGCTGGTGTCGCAATTAATCAATCTCACTATTGCTAAGCAAGAAGATCAAGCCAAACAAAAAGCATTAAAAGATGATCCAACATTGGCTAATGGTCAAGATTTGGCAGCGTCAGAAGATCTTACACCTGTTCAAACACTTACCAAGCGTTATACCCGCCAACTAGAGCGTATCGGTAGAACCAAGAGTGATGACGTACTGGAACGTATCCTCAATGCAATGACCTTGACCTACGATCCACACAGCAATTATTTCCCACCTGTTGATGCTATGGAGTTGAATCGTCAAACCACCTTACAACTTGAAGGTATCGGTGTTTCTATTCGCCCTGAGCGTGGTAATGAAGACTATACCAAGATTGAAACCATTGTAGATGGTGGGCCTGCAAGTAAGACCGGACAGGTCAAATCTGGTGATCGCATTATTGGCGTTGCACAAGATGGCAATAAAATGGTCGACGTGATTGGTTGGCCAAGTTCTGAAATTGTTGGCTTGATTCGTGGTAAACGTGGCACCAAGGTGTCAGTGAAATTGTTGGCTGCGGGCGCTTCTATGAGCCAAGCACGAGTTGTGACCATTACTCGTGATGTGATTCAAGAAGAAGATGCCGGTGTGCGTTCACGTACTGTAGAGCTAACACGTGATGGTAAAAAACATAAGTTTGGTGTTTTAGAAATCCCATCTTTCTATCTGAACTATCGCGCACGTCGTGCAGGGACTGAATACCGTTCTGTTTCAGAAGATACCAATAAAGCATTGAAGTCACTTGCAGCACAAAATGTTGAAGGGATTATTATTGATTTGCGTAATAACCCCGGTGGTTCTTTAGAAGAAGTTGCCAAAATGATTGGGCAAGTGATTAAAGAAGGCCCAGTGGTTCAAATCCGTGATGGTAACGGCAATGTGAGTGTGTTTGAAGACACTGATGGTGGTGCGCAAACTTATTCAGGTCCTTTGGCTGTTTTGGTTAACTTAGCATCTGCTTCTGCCAGTGAAATTTACTCTGCTGCCTTACAAGATTACGATCGTGCTGTAATTTTAGGAAGTACGACCACGGGTAAAGGGACTGCGCAAGTTCAATTGGATAGTCTTGCCTATGGTCAAGCAACCTTAACGCAACGTAAATTCTACCGTGTGACTGGTGGTAGCACCCAAAACAAAGGTGTGATTCCAGATATCAAACTGGTGGATATTTATGATGAAGAGTTTGGTGAGCGTAAAGCTAAAAATGCTTTGAAATGGGATACGATTCCAACTGCACCGTTTAAACGTGAAGGTTCAATTCAACCATATGTGGCACAGCTTGGTGAAAAATCAAAAGTTCGTGCGGCAGGCGATCCACAGTTCCAATACCTAGAGACACGTAAAGCGATTGCTCAAGAAACCAAGGATCAAAAACGAATCTCTTTAGATATTGATAAACGTAAAGCAGATTTGGTGGCGCTTGAAGCAAGAACATTGGCTGCAGAGAACAAACGTCGCAATGAAACAGGATTAAAGCCATATTCAAATTGGGAAAGTTACCAAGCAAGTTTGGATGCCTTGGCTGAATCGAGAGCAAAAATGAAGGTAAACCAACGTCCGTCATTGCCTGAGGAAGAGACCTTTGTGAATGAGGCTGCCAATGTTCTGTTAGATTTGGCACATCTAACAAGTAAATAACTAAAAATTCTATTTAGGTAAAATAAAAAAGCATATCTCGGATATGCTTTTTTTATTTCGATTCAAAAAATAACTTGACGTTCAATAGGATAGTGATATTTTAAGTAAAACGAACGTTCTTTAAAAAAGGTGAACCTTCTCGCAATTTTGCGTTGTATATATAGAGGTTGCTTATAACAAAAATAGGTTCATTACTGGAAGTAAATTTTTATGAGTTATATGAGTTATGATAGTAATCTCGTAATAGGTTCTGCATGTATTGCAGTTATCATCTGTTACGTAGCTATTTCATTAGAACAACTCATATTTACCCAACATACTCCTCGTCTACAGAAAATTATCTTGTGTTTAAGTGGCATGGTTTTTGGCTTCGCCATTTGGGCAATGCACTTTGTCGGAATGTTGGCTTGTGATCTACCACAAGGTTATTCCTTTGATCTAACATTAACCGTGATTTCCTATATTATTGCCGCATTGGCTTCGACTTTTGCGATATGGTTGACCACTCAAGAGACCTTGCCGATTGTACGGTTGATTTTAGGTGGATTGTTGATGGGGCTGGGAATTTCAGGGATGCATTATATTGGCATGCTGGGGTTAACTATCCCAAATCAACAAGTTGATTATGATGCTATTTTGGTGATGCTCTCTGTCATCATTGCGATTAGTGGTTCTGGCTTGTCTTTCTGGCTCGCATTTAAATATAAGAATTCTTTTAACCATAAGATGCTTTATAAAATTGCTGTATCGATAATGATCGCTCTCAGTATTGTGGGAATGCATTATATCGGTATGGCAGCAGCAACGATCTCATCGGTGCATGACCATCATTTTGGAAGTCAATTACACGAAGGGCAAGGTATTTTATTGTTTACCATTATTTTTGTAGCGAGTTTAATACTTGTTTCTGCTTTTTGTGTGGCGATTTTAGAACGAAGATTAGAAGAACGTAGTTTACAGTTATTACAAGCCAATAAAGAGCTTGAAGACTTAGCACTTCAAGACAATTTGACTAAACTTCCAAACCGATTATTCCTTGTTGAATATACTGATGCTTTATTTTTAGATTATAAGGATATACCGTCTAAAATTGCTTTTATTTATATTGATCTAGACCGCTTTAAATCAGTTAATGATGCATTTGGTCATCATATCGGTGATGAGCTTCTGGTTAAACTCGCCCAGCGTTTATATCCTTTACTTAAGGATGGGCAAAGACTCACCCGTATTGGTGGAGATGAGTTTATTCTGATTCTTGAAGACTCTAATCGTAATGAAGCTGAAGCGATTGCCGAATTATTCTTACAAAAAATACAAGATGGTTTTCAAATCTCAGGTAAAGAAATCAATATTTCTGCCAGTATTGGCATCGTATTTTTCCCTGACCATGGGCAGAACTTACAAGACTTATTGATCAATGCTGACTCCGCCATGATGCAATCTAAAGAGCAGGGGCGTAACACTTTTAGTGTTTATAGCAGTTCATTAGACCAACAACATCAAAGCCGAAGTCAATCTAAACTCATTAACGATTTATATAAAGCAGTAGAAGAACAACAATTTATTCTATTTTATCAACCTAAATTCACAGCCGACTACCAAATTTGTGGGGTAGAGGCTTTAATCCGTTGGAAGCATCCAACCCTAGGTTTATTAGCCCCGAGTATGTTTATTGATGGTGCTGAGCAAACGGGGCTGATTATTCGTATGGGCTATTGGGCCTTAGAGAAAGCATGTAAGCAAATTCAAGAATGGGAAGATAAAAAATATGCTTTTGGTCCCATCGCTGTAAATCTTTCAGCTGTACAATTTGAACATAAACATTTGATCGAAACTTTAGAAAAATTGATTCAAAAATACCATGTCAAAAATGGTAATTTAATTATTGAAATTACTGAATCTACAGCGATGCATCATATAGATGACAGTATTCAAACCTTTGAGAAATTAAGAAATTTAGGTATCCGACTGGCAATTGATGATTTTGGAACGGGGCATTCGAGTTTCTTGTATTTAAAAGATTTACCAGTAGATGAATTAAAAATAGATCGAGAATTTATCCGTAATTTGTGTGAAGGTTCAAAAGAACAAATCATTTTAGAAAGTATTATTCATTTGGCGATTCGTTTGGGTCTGGTGGTGACGGCAGAAGGCGTTGAAACTGAACAGCAGGCGCAGATTCTTAAACGTTTAGGTTGCCAGCAATTACAAGGTTATTTGTTAGGAATGCCGCTACCTGTAGACCGTTTGGAAACCAATTATAGTATGGTTAAAGCCATACCTTAAATATAAAAATATTCAGCAAGCTAAAGACTTACTACTATCATTCAAAAGAGGTTTAAGCTGAGCTTAATCGCGTTTTACTTAACCATCATCACTGTATATTGAGATCTACGTTGATCTTTAAAACGATTTGCTTATCGTCCGTATCGCTCATCCTCTTTCTAGCATTTTTGCTATGCCTGCGCGATCAAAGTGCTTAATCATATAGCAACAATCGTTAAAAACGACGCTAAATCTGATACAATATCGCCAATTTTTGAATTCCCATTTTCCAGTTCAAGTACATATTTATAAATGTGTACATAACTGTGTACATATTGTAGATTTTTTATGTTTAAAGATGAATTAGCTGCGCAAGTCGCTCAGCGACGTACCTTCGCTATTATTTCCCACCCCGATGCTGGTAAAACGACAATGACAGAAAAACTGTTGTTGTGGGGTAAAGCAATCCAAGTTGCAGGTATGGTTAAAAGTCGAAAGTCAGACCGTTCTGCGACATCTGACTGGATGGAAATGGAAAAAGAGCGTGGTATTTCGATTACCACCTCAGTCATGCAGTTCCCTTATAAAAATCATGTCATCAATTTACTTGATACACCGGGACATGAAGACTTTTCTGAAGATACCTATCGTACTTTAACTGCCGTTGACTCAGCATTGATGGTGATTGATGGTGCAAAAGGGGTCGAGGAACGGACCATCAAATTGATGGAAGTGTGTCGTATGCGCGATACCCCGATCATTTCTTTTGTCAACAAAATGGACCGTGAAATCCGTGAGCCATTAGAATTGCTTGATGAAATTGAAAACGTGCTTAAAATCCGTTGTGTGCCGATTACTTGGCCATTGGGTATGGGGCGTGACTTCGCTGGTGTATATAACATCATTGAAAATAAGCTTTATGTATATAAAGCGGGTTTTGGTTCGACCATTACAGATATTGAAATTCGTGATGGCTATGACTATCCAGACATTCGTGAAAAAGTCGGTGATCTGGCCTTTGCTTCATTTGAAGAGTCTTTAGAGTTGGTGCAAATGGCGAATGATCCACTTGATCCAGCGGAGTTTTTAGCAGGTCGTCAAACACCAGTATTGTTTGGTACAGCGTTGGGTAACTTTGCGGTTGACCATGTATTAAATGCATTTATTCAGTGGGCACCACAACCGAAAGCACATCCAACACATGAACGTACTGTTGAAGCAACGGAAGAAGGCTTCAGTGGATTTGTATTTAAAATCCAAGCCAATATGGACCCAAAACACCGTGACCGTATTGCCTTCATGCGTATCTGTTCAGGTAAGTATGAGAAAGGTTTAAAGATGAATCATGTGCGCATTGGTAAAGATGTGCGTATCAGTGATGCATTAACATTCCTTGCGGGTGAACGTGAGCAACTTGAAGAAGCTTGGCCTGGTGATATCATTGGTTTACATAACCACGGTACGATTCAGATTGGTGATACATTCACTTCTGGTGAAAAACTCCATTTTACGGGGATTCCACACTTTGCACCTGAAATGTTCCGCCGTGTACGTTTAAAAGATCCATTGAAATCTAAACAATTGCAAAAGGGTTTAAAAGAGCTTTCAGAAGAAGGTGCAACGCAGGTGTTTATGCCACAAATCAACAATGACTTGATTGTTGGGGCTGTAGGTGTACTTCAGTTTGATGTGGTGGCGTATCGTTTGAAAGAAGAATACAAAGTAGATTGTATTTATGAGCCAGTGAACATCAACACAGTGCGTTGGGTTTCTTGTGATGATGAAAAGAAATTTAATGAATTTAAGAAAAAGGCACATGACCAACTTTCTGTCGATGGTGGTGGGCATTTAACTTATCTCGCACCAAGCCGAGTGAATCTACAATTAATGCAAGAGCGTTATCCAGATATTCAATTCCGTTCTACACGTGAGCATTAAGTTCAGCTAACTTATTGCAAAATGTAAAAACAGCTTCCTTGTGAAGCTGTTTTTGTATCAAAATACAATGCTTTTTGTCCAAAGGGATTTATGCAGTGCAATTTTCAAAAAAAATAATTTCAGTGCTTTGCTTAAGTACAGTGGTTTTGGTTGCATGTGATTCTAAAAAAGATCAGGACAAAGATGGTTCTGTATTACAACCCAAACAAGAAGCCGCTGAAGTCTTACCTTATTTAAATATTCAAGAAACCAAAGCTGATTATGCCTTACCGTTTTGTGAAAAGAACAATTGCATTGAAATTGATATTCAAACCATTAAAACCCAAGACAATTGGTTAAATCAGTGGATTGCAAATAGTCAGTCCAAGGTGATTCAGGCACAGATTGATTTAAAACAGAACATGACCTTACAACAGGCCATTAATGCTTTTGTCAAAAAGTCAGATACTTGGCAAGAAGAATTCCCGAAAAATAAAGCGTTTGAACTGCATATGCAAACGCGTATGGCTTCACAACGCAATCAGTATGTTTTGTTGCAAGTTTCAGTCAATAGTTTACAAGCGGATGTCAGTATCAAAGAACGACAATACTTTTTTGTTGCTGACCGGAAATTGAAGAAAAGCTTAAGTATTTTAGATGTGATTGATGCCAAGCATCAGAACCAACTGAATACTTGGGTCCAAGAAAAATATGCGGAATGGTTGGAAAAGCAAAATAGCGATGTGAAAAAAAATGCGCCTAAAAAATTATATTGGGGGCAAGCCGATTGGTTCTTTGATGGTGAAGGTGTTGGCTTACATTATCGCGCCAATGAAATTGTCGAAGATGGTACCCAGTTGGATATTTATTTGAGCAAAGAACAGACGCAAAAAATACTCAAGCCTGAAGTGTATCAACGTATGTTTTAAGGTGTATCCTGATCATTCTGCCAATTTTAGCTGGATTCTAAAGCGTAACGGTTAAGATCATTGGTCCTTGTTAAATTAATTATATGATCACTAAACTTGAGCCATGTATTGCAATAACGCTTCAATTTTCATACAAATTTTGATTGAGGATTTGTATAGAGAAGAATAGGCTAATGAATATAGAGATTAAAAAATCTTGGCTTGATTCGTTGGATAGGTTTGTGAAATGTTAAATCAAAAAAGTACTTTAGCGCTTTCAATTCTGGTGATCACTTTAGGGTTAACTGCATGTCAAAAATCTGACTCGAAAAAAGCAGAACCAACAGTTGATCAAAGTGCTGCATCTCAAGTGCCTGATACATCAATGTTATTACAGGGCGATACAGAAAAAGTAAAATTGACACTGCCTGAGTGTAATGGCAATACATGCCCTGAGTTTTCTATAGAAAGACTAAAAAGCAATCAGGCTTTTGTTGATGAAACGATTGATCAAGCGATTTTAGATAATCTGGATAAAATGCTGGATATCGCGCAATTGAGTAAAGCGAAAAAAGATGCAGATCAGCAGCAAACGGCTTCACAAGCTTCAGCAAGTGAGGTGCAAGCCAATAAAACCCCTGTTCAGCAATTGCAAGAGCGTGTGCAACCTTATGCAAATTCATTCCTTGAGATGGATAAAGAGCTTAAAACATTAGGGGCGAGTGGCCAGATCACGATTAGTTTAAGTCCTAAAATTTTAAACTCAGATAAACCTTTAGCGACGGTAGTATTAAATACCAGTAGTTATTTAGGCGGTGCACATGGGGCATCTGCGCAAACCTATTTTAACTTTGATTTGGTGAGTAAAAAACAAGTTGGCTTGGATCAAATCATTGAAGCCAATCAAAAAGCTAAATTTGAAAAATTGGCACATGATGCATTTAAAACTTGGGTTATCGATTCAAAACTTGCTGAAAGCGTCAATGAATATGAACAGGCGTGGAAGTTTACATTATCAGACAATTTCTATTTGGGTAAACAAGGTCTGATTTTACAATATGGTGAATATGATATTGGACCTTATGTTGTTGGCTTACCGCGTTTGATGATTCCTTACGATCAGTTAAAAGGCGTGTTGAAAAGTCAATATTTCCCAGCGGAGATGCAAGTTGATCAGCCAAGCAGTTCTGCACCTGTTGCAAGTGGGAAAGCGAAATCCTAATGCCTTGGCCTTTGTTTGATACACATACGCATTTTGATGTTCCTGATTTTGATCTGGATCGGGAACAATTGGCGTATCAAGCAAAAAAGGTGGGTGTAGAACATTTGATTTTGATTGGGTTTCTATATGAACGCTTTCAAGATTTGATAGACACTCAGCAATTTTTAAATCAGCTAAATAATGCGCCCCGTAGCCATCTTGCCCCGGGGTTGCATCCCTTTTATATCGAACAACACCGTCTAGAGCATTTAAATGCTTTGGAAAATATACTGAAAACTGAAGCTTGTATTGCGGTAGGTGAAATTGGCTTAGACACGTTTCTTAAACAGCATAAACAAGCTGAGATTTTTCAAAAACAACAAGATTTTTTTTCAGCCCAAATTGAACTTGCCCAACAATATGATAAACCCATTCTTCTACATATTCGTAAGTCACATGCTGACGTGCTTGCAATGTTGAAACAGCACCAGTTTAAACATGGTGGTATTGCACATGCTTTTAGTGGGGGAATAGAAGAGGCAAAAGCCTTTATTAAATTAGGCTTTAAACTAGGTGTCACAGGACAAATTACCAATCCAAATGCCAAAAAACTGCATGCAGTTGTACAAGCGGTTGGTGCGCAACATTTAGTGCTAGAAACCGATTGCCCAGATATGACACCACTGTGTTGCCAGACATCTGACCAACAGCATACCCGTAATACACCAGTGAACTTGCCTTTTGTCTTGGCGGGTTTAGCTGAAAGTTTGGCAATGGATCAAGCAACATTGGCAGGTGTGTTGTGGAAAAACTCACATGAATGCTTACATTTACCGATGTAAATTTGAATAAAAATAACCAATCAACAACACCTAAAATAAATATTTGTCTTAGATTTAAAGAAGTACTCCAAGTAGCCAATAAGAAAGTTAACGCCAAGCTGGAGGTTCAACCAATGGCAAAATATGGTCATATCAATCGTTTAAATTCTCTACAAGACCTAACTGTAGGGGATACAAGATATAAAATTTTTAATTTAAAACAGGTTCAAGCGAGTTTAGGTGATATTTCAAAATTGCCTAAATCACTCAAAGTATTATTGGAAAATTTACTTAGATTTGAAGATGATCAAACCGTGAGGGAAAGCGATATTCAGGCGATTGTCGATTGGCAAAAGAATAAAACTTCAGATCAAGAAATCCAATATCGCCCTGCACGGGTCTTGATGCAAGATTTTACTGGCGTACCTGCTGTGGTAGATTTGGCTGCGATGCGTGCAGCTGTACAGAAAGCCAATAAAGATCCCAATTTAATTAACCCGTTATCTCCAGTGGATTTGGTCATTGACCATTCTGTGATGGTGGATCACTTTGGGACAGATCATGCCTTCGATGAGAATGTCGAAATTGAGATGCAACGTAATGGAGAACGTTATCAATTCCTCCGCTGGGGGCAGTCTTCTTTTGATAATTTTAGTGTAGTACCGCCCGGAACAGGGATTTGCCATCAAGTCAATTTAGAATACCTAGCTCAAGCAGTGTGGCTGGGTGAAAGTGATGGTGAGGTATTTGCCTTTCCCGACACCTTAGTCGGTACAGATTCACATACCACAATGATCAATGGTTTAGGTGTATTGGGTTGGGGTGTGGGGGGAATTGAAGCCGAAGCGGCCATGCTTGGACAGCCGATTTCAATGTTGATTCCAGAAGTGATTGGTTTTAAATTGACAGGGAAATTGCGTGAAGGGATTACCGCAACGGATTTGGTTTTAACCATTACTCAGATGCTACGTAAAAAAGGCGTGGTGGGTAAATTTGTTGAATTTTATGGTGATGGGTTGGCATTTTTGCCTCTTGCAGACCGAGCAACCATTGCCAATATGGCACCCGAATATGGTGCAACATGTGGCTTTTTTCCGATTGATGAAATCACTCTAGGGTATATGCGTTTAACGGGTCGTAAAGAAGACCGTATTGCATTGGTTGAGGTCTATTGTAAAGAACAAGGTCTATGGCGTCATACAGGGGATGAACCTGTATTTACAGATGTGCTTGCTTTAGATATGGGAACCGTTGAAGCAAGTGTTGCTGGCCCGAAACGTCCGCAAGATCGAGTGGCATTGCCTGATATCCCACAAACTTTTAGTGCCTTAATGGCGCTGGATCTTAAGCCAGCTAAAGGTGAAGAAAAAGAACGTTTAGCCAATGAAGGTGGTGCAGGTACAGCAATTGATTCAAAACAGTCTGCTTTACAAAATGAAGAACCGCATTGTGTGATTGACGGTAAGCGCTATCCATTGACGGATGGTGATGTGGTGATTTCTGCGATTACTTCATGTACCAATACCTCTAATCCAAGTGTGATGTTGGCTGCGGGTTTGTTGGCAAAGAAAGCCATCGAAAAAGGCATTCAACGTAAGCCATGGGTGAAAAGCTCTCTTGCACCAGGCTCTAAAGTGGTAACCGATTATTTAGAAGCGGCAGGGTTAATGTCTTATTTAGACCAGTTGGGCTATAACCTCGTTGGTTATGGTTGTACCACATGTATTGGTAATTCAGGACCTTTACCTAAACCGATTGAAGACGCTATTCAGTGCCATGACCTGAATGTTGCGTCGGTACTTTCAGGCAACCGAAACTTTGAAGGGCGGGTACATCCACTGGTAAAAACCAATTGGCTTGCATCACCGCCTTTGGTGGTTGCGTTTGGTTTATTGGGTACCATTCGTAGTGACATTACCAGCACAGCATTAGGGCACGATCAACAAGGTCAACCAGTATATCTCAAAGACATTTGGCCGAGTCAAATCGAGATTGATGAGGTGCTGCAAAAAGTTAATACAGCGATGTTCCATAAAGAATATGCTGCAGTTTTTGATGGTGATGAAAAATGGCAAGCAATTCAAATCTCTGATTCTGAAACCTATGAATGGGATGAAAACTCAACGTATATTCGTCATCCTCCGTTCTTTGAAGGTATTGATCAACCCGCGAAACCAATTAAAGATATTCTTAATGCAAATATCTTGGCCGTTCTTGGCGACTCAGTCACAACAGATCATATTTCTCCTGCGGGGAATATTAAGAAAGACAGTCCAGCAGGTCGTTATCTAGAAGCGCAAGGTGTCGATCAAAAGGACTTTAACTCTTATGGATCTCGTCGTGGTAATCATGAAGTGATGATGCGAGGAACCTTTGCTAATATTCGTATTAAGAATGAAATGCTCAATGGCGAAGAGGGTGGTAATACCCTCTATATCCCGACAGATGAGAAGTTAGCCATTTACGATGCTGCGATGAAGTATCAGCAAGATGGAACGCCGTTGGTCATCATTGCAGGTAAGGAATATGGTACAGGCTCATCACGTGACTGGGCGGCGAAAGGCACCAACCTTTTAGGAGTAAAAGCGGTGATTACTGAAAGTTTTGAACGAATCCATCGTTCAAATCTGGTTGGTATGGGGGTTTTACCGTTGCAATTTGTGGATGGTCAAACTCGTCAATCACTTAACTTAACTGGGCATGAGCAACTGTCGATTTATGGACTTTCTGATGACATACAACCACATGAAAGTTTAGATGTGGAAGTTAAACGTGTCGATGGTTCAATAGATCGTTTCAAAGTGTTATGCCGTATTGATACTTTGAATGAAGTGGAATATTTTAAAGCAGGTGGTATTTTGCATTATGTGCTGCGTAATTTAATCGCTTCATAGTCTAATCAATAAATCACAATATATTTCAGTTCTCCAAGCCCTGTATAGAATGCAGGGCTTTTTTTATTGTGTTGGAGCAAGACACACTGTCGATAAATGAGTAAAATAGCGGGGTATTTTTGAGTTGATACTAGACATGACTGAACTTTTCCAAAATGATGAATATGAGCGCCGTTTTGCAGGCGTAGCCAAAATTTATGGAGAAGAGACATTCAATCACTATGAAAAAAGTCATGTCATGGTGATCGGTATTGGTGGGGTTGGCTCATGGGCGGTTGAGGCCTTAGCACGTACAGGGATTGGCGAGTTAACACTGGTCGATATGGATTCAGTGGCTGCTTCAAATATCAACCGACAGCTGCCTGCAATGACCTCTACTTTAGGCCATGAGAAAATTGAAGTCATGGCGGAACGTTGCCGTTCAATTAATCCTCGGATCAAGATCAATTTGATTGATGATTATCTCAGCCCAGATAATGTAAAAGAAATTCTAGAAAATGTTCCCGATATTATTTTAGATTGCATCGATGACGTTAAAGCAAAATTTGCACTTATGCTACATTGTCGTTTTAATAAAATTCCTTTGATTGTTTCGGGTGGGGCAGGTGGTAAGCTTGATCCTCTAAAAATTCGTGTTGCTGATTTATCTAAAACAGAACAAGATCCGATGCTTGCAAAATTGCGGAGCCAGTTGCGCGCCAAAGGCATTTGTAAGAAACCAAAAGAAAAATTTGGCATTACTTGTGTGTATTCAATTGATAATCCTTTTTCCAGTGCTGATGTGTGTGCGAGTGCAGGCTTGCGTTGTGGTGGATATGGTTCGGCTGTGGTGGTGACTTCTAGTTTTGCGATGGTCGCCGTTGCAGAAGTGTTGAAAAAGTTAGATCGGATCAAATAAGCGCTTGGTATTTTTAAGTAAAAGTTTAGATGCATTTAAAAATCATAAAAATTCAGTTAAATTAATCTGAAATAAACGCAATAACAGAGAACAATCAAAATGAGTTTTTTCAAAAAGTTATTTGGAAAGCAAGAACAACAAATACAAATCAATCGAAACCGCTATGCTGAATTTTGGCAATGGTTTGAGCAGCATCAGCAGGATTTCCATCGTATTGTGGATGAGTTAAATCAAGATACGATTCAGGCGGATTTCTTTGATAAATTATCGCCTGAATTGGCCAAAGTTCATGGTGGAATTTTTTTCCTTACCGGGATGCTTGACCCACAAACAGCTGAATTGATTTTAACGCCAGATGGTGTTGTGGCAAATATTGTATTTGTAGAGGAATTGGTGGCAGCAGCCCCTGAAATTCCTGGCTGGAAATTTACCGCACTTAAACCCGCAAGTGATATTGAGCAAACCAGTATTGGTATGCATGGTTATGAGTTTAGTCAAAAAACGCTATCATTTTATTTAAAAGACCATGAAGAATATCCAGATGAAACTGATCTTGTGGTTGTGCATGATCAATATAATGAAGCTCAAAAAGCTGAATTCTTACAAGCAGTTTATATCTTTTTGGATAATTATTTGGGTGAATATGATTCGATCACAAAGCTAGATCAAGTTTCGCTACAATTCAGACAAGATGCTGAAAAAGAATTAATGCCTATCGATCGTTTAAAGAATATTTTAATTTTAAAGAACAGTGAAATTTCTCGCTTAGACAAAATAACCCGTTCAAGTACTGATGAAGATGAATATATCAGTTTGGAGGGGGAGACCAATGAAGGGCTACCTTTGGTGGCGATCTTAAACAGTACTCTTTTAACATGGGATCAAAAGGCTTCTCATCCGTGGATGCTGCTGGTAGAAATACCTTATGCTGGTCAGAACTCAAGTGGTATGCCGTCTGCAACAGATTATGAGTTGCTTAATGAGATTGAAGAAGAATTATTAAATGAGCTAAAGGATTTTGAAGGATATTTAAATATTGGACGAGAAACCGGTAATAACTTAAGAACCATGTATTTTGCTTGTAAAGAGTTTAGAAAACCCGCCAAAGTTATAGATCAGGTTGTTGAAAAATATCAGAACAACTTTGAAATCGATGTCAGCCTATTTAAAGATAAATATTGGCGTTGTTTAAATAAGTTTGGTCGTTAACTATGCTGAAAAGTCGCTTGAAATGCGCTATAGCATTCAGACCATAGACATGGACAGCTTAGAGAATGAAGCGGCTTTTTAATCGACCTATCCCCGATCTTAAAATAACCCTATTGGCGATCCTGTTGATTGGCGGAATTGGATATTATCTTTATTCAACGGTTCGTCATTTTCAGGCGGTCAACCAATTGGATGAAGCTAAAACGACAATGCGTGATATACAGAACTTGTTGGGATGGTCAATCCTTCAACCTCAAGCGGATGCAATTCAAGTCTGTAATTTGCAAAATATCCAACAGATCAGCAAACAAGAAGAGTTTCAAAAGATCAAGCAACTGTTGGGCTGGAATGTCAATATTCAACAACACAGCAAATATGTTGAAAGCATAAAAGTATATGCTGCACCTGATTTACACGGCTGTATTATACGTGCTCATTTTCGAAAAGACGCCTTTGTAAGTGATGATCTTGCTGGCAAATATATTACTTACCAATATGATTTTAAAAAAAGCACCACAACATGCGTCACCAATATAAAAAAGTATGCTTTAGTGAAATCTTGCACGCGCTTGTAAAAAACATACTTTATCTGTTCCGCTTAATCAGACCTGTAAATAAATAAACTCAGGCTGTCGGGGCGATTTACCTGTTTGTTTTGCGATAAAATCATCATAAAGATTGAGTAAAACAACAGCGCAAATAATACAAATAAAAACCAGTAATTGTTTGGATATGCTCATGCTATTTCTCTCTGATCTAAGTCGCTTTAAGTAAAGTCTAGTGAAATCAAACAATCTAATCTAATATAGAAAGAAGCATGATTGATCTAATTTTGAGATGAATATGGCAACATTCAAACAATTTAATTATTTGATTAGAATTGTGGAAGAAGGTGGTTTTATTGCAGCTTCTGAAAAGTTGTTTATTGCCCAATCTGCTTTAAGTCGCCAGATTAAGCTTTTGGAGGACGAAGTAGGATTTGAAATTTTTGACCGCAGTGATAAAAAAATAAAACTCACCCGAGCAGGGCAGTTCTTTTATGCTCAAATTAAAAATAATTTGCTTAACTTAGATCATATTATTGAAAATGCTAAAGATATTGCAGATGGACAAAATCGGCTCATCAAAATTGCACACTCAAGCACTATTACCATGAGCTTAGAAAAAGTTAAAGTATTTGATCAAACCTCAAAGTATCTCAATGTTAATTTCGAGATCAACACCTTGTCATCTGAAGACCAAATTCTTGCACTGATGAAAGGAAATATTGATGTTGGTTTTATTCGCCCACCTGTCTTAAATCGCTTAGATGAGTTATATGCAACCACGCTCTACCCTGAGCCCTTATACGTTGCACTTCATCAAAATCATATTTTAGTTTCAGAACGCAGTATTAAAATCCAACAGTTAAAGCATGAAAATTTTGTTTCTACACCACATACAGAACGGGGCAGTTTAAGTTATTTGGTTGCAAACCTATGCTTAAGTGCTGGTTTTTCTCCAAAGAAAGCGGCGGTTCAGTCCCGTAAAATTTCACAATTGCAATTGGTGGCTGCTGAAATTGGAATTTGTATTGTTCCTGAAGAATTTAGACATATTCTGCCTAAACAGGTAAGACTGATTGCTTTGGATGCAGAAAATGCATGGTCTGATGTTGTGATGGTCTGGAGTAAAAATGCAGATGGTGTCATTCAGCGATGTACTGAATACATGATCAAACAGTTTCAACGATGATCTTTAAAGACCATCGTTTGATTGAAAAGATAGCTGTGGATTAAGATTGTATTGAATCGTAGAAATTTTCAGTCGTGATCAGACAGACTGTTCTCGAATATAATCCTCTGTACGCTTCATTGCTTCTTTAATATTGATAATGGCATTTTCAACATCTGCAAATGTTTTGGCATTACCGCCACTTAAAGCCTGACGCCATTTACGCGCACCGGGAAGATTTTGGAATAAGCCTAAAATATGGCGTGTAATAATCGATAGAGGTGCGCCTTCTTGCATACGTTTGGCAATATAAGGCAGCATTTGATCGATAATATCAAAGCGATCAGGTAAGTCTAAGTTCCAGAGTTGACCTAATTCTGCCAAGAGGTAAGGGTTGTGATAAGCCTCACGACCAATCATGACCCCATCAACATGCTTTAAATGTGTTTGCGTTTCAGCGAAAGTTTTAACCCCACCATTGATCTCGATCAGCAACTCAGGACGCTCTTGTTTTAAACGATACACATCTTCGTAGCGTAGTGGCGGAACATCGCGGTTTTCTTTTGGTGATAAGCCTTGAAGCAGAGCAATACGGGCATGTACGATAAAATTATCACATCCAGTTTTCGCAACTGTATCGACAAAATGTAGCATCTCTTCATAAGATTGCATGTCATCTATACCGATGCGGTGTTTTACTGTGACTGGAATATCAACTGCATTACGCATTTCAGCAATACATTCTGCAACCAAATCAGGCTCTGCCATTAAGCAGGCACCAATCTTATTGTTTTGTACGCGGTCACTTGGACAGCCCACATTTAAATTGATTTCGTCATAACCCCAGTCTTGAGCCATTTTGCTACAAGTTGCAAGATCTTTCGGATTTGAACCACCGAGCTGTAGAACAATCGGATGTTCTTCATGGTTATAGTCCAAATGACGATTTGCTCCACCATAGATGATGGCACCTGTGGTGACCATTTCTGTATAGAGGATAATATTGGGGTTAAACAAACGTGCAAAGAAACGATAGTCACGAGTTGTCCAATCCATCATCGGAGCGACCGAAATACGAGGCGTTAAAGATTGGAGCTCAGACATACAGTCAACCTGAAAAAGATAGAAAAAAAGCAAGTGCGGATTATACGTGCTTTATTTTAAAATCAATAGCCATACTCAAAAGATAGAATTTGTAAAGCTAATTAAAATTTTGATTCTGATGGTGATTTTTAAATGTGACAAAGTAAGATTTATAGGGCTTCATTAAAGCGTTATCAATTTGGTGAAAACGCTTAAAAATAAAATTAGTGCATTGGTAGAGCATGTTGGTTGAACAAAATACGGTGTTGCTCATCTTGGATTAAAACTTAGCACTACGAGCACACAACAACATCAGCTGTAAATTCCCTAAATCTCTTGAGCTCCCTATCATTTCATACAAAATACTGACGGAATAATGCTGCTGCCAATATTCCTGCTGCAATCGCCAACAGTGGTTTTTTAAGCAGTAGCATAACGATCAATGTTGTCAGTAACGCCAAACGAGCGCCATGATCACCTTCAACCGCAATAGGGGCCAAAAGTGCAACCAGTACAGATCCCGACATTGCATTAATGAATCGTTGCACACGATCGCTAATAGGTACATAAGACATAATTAAAACACCACCCCAGCGAGTGGCTAATGTCACAATGGCCATAATAAAAATAATAATTAATGGATAAGTGGTGCTAATCTCTAGGTTCATAGCTGTTTCTCTTTCCAGAAAATTCCGACAATTCCGCCAAATAAAGCACCCACAACGACATGACTATTTTCTGGTAAGTACCAATAAGCCAATAATGAGCTACAGGCTGCGATTGTCCAGATGATGAGTATTCTGAGGTTTTTTTGTCCACCGACAACCATCGCCAGTAGAAAACAAGCCATGACCATATCTAATCCCAGCAATGCAGGATGATGAATGACATTACCAAAATAGAAACCCAGTCCTGTGCCTAAAACCCACGCGAGCCAAAGCGCAAGCCCCCCTCCAAACAATAAGCCCATCCCTGATTCACCACGATTAAATGCTTGTAGTGAGAGTGCCCAATTGGCATCAGAAATAACCAGCAAGATACTGTATCGTTTGATGGGAGGCAGGTGCCGTAACCAAGGATAAAGAGATGCGCCCATTAAAAGGTGCCGAGCATTGATAAAGAAAACTGTGACTATTAAGGGAATCAGTGATATTTGCGCGCCCCATAGTTCTAAAGTCGCAAATTGAGATGCTCCTGCAAAAACAAAGCTACTCATTAACATGATAGAGCTATTGTCTAGTCCTGTTTGCGTTGCAGCTAAGCCGAAAGCAGCTCCAAAAATCACCACGAAAGATGAAATTGGAAGAAGGCTTTTAAAGCCTGACCAAACTTGGGAATAACTTAAACTGTAAATATCTGGGTCAACATTCGACAAAATAATTTCCTTATCTTTTTAAATTTTCTAGTGAGCTATATACCTAATGATCGCTGATGAAAATTAGGGGAAATTTCCTTCTTTTCTTAATAAATTATGGACTTAGAAAGTTAGAGTGCAAAGCGCATAATTCTTACATATACTATTCGAAAATCGAATAATTTAGGGGTGATCATGAATCTACAAAATCTACAGATTGATTGGTTAAAATGTTTTGTCGCAGTTGTTGATACAGGTTCTCTTTCAAATGCAGCACCTGAGCTATACCGTTCACAGTCCGCTGTCAGTATGCAGTTAAAAAAATTGGAAGGTGCTTTAAAATGCCAACTTTTAGTTAGAACACATAGACAAATTCAACTTACTTCTGAAGGGCAACTTCTTTTAGGTTATGCAAGACGGATACTTGATCTACATCATGAAACACAAATGGCTTTTAATGGAGAAGAGTTAACCGGTCGGATTAGACTTGGCGTACCTGATGATTATGCCGCTAAATATCTAACGCCAGTGCTTAAGCGTTTTGCACCACGTTATAGCGGCGTTGAAATAGAATTTATTTGTGAACAATCGACTTCATTGATCCCACGTATAGAAAATGGCGAGATTGATTTAGCATTGATTTCAAGGGATAACCCTCGTCAAGGCACTTTATTGTTTCATGAGCCAATGGTGTGGGTAGGTTCTCCCCAATTTGAATTATGGCGTGAAGATCCGATACCTATTGCTGTTTATGAAAGTACCAGTTTAGCCAAAAAAAGTGCGATCAATTCGCTTGCATTGCAAGGTCGCCGTTATCGTGTTGTTTATAATAGTTCAAGTTTAATCGGGCAAATTGCAGCAGTTGAAAGTGGTTTAGCCGTCGCAGTTTTCACACAATGTAGCGCGCCTCAGCATTTAGAAATTTTAGGAGCAGAGCACGGGCTAGGCCCATTAGCACCCATGGAAGCATCTGTATATAGAAGTAGAGCCTCGCTTAATTCAAAAGCGGTCGATCATTTATATGAACTCTTAATTAAGACATTAAGGCAATCCATTACCTATTAAGCAGGTTTTAATCAGATCTTCCACAGAAATTTGAAATATATATATGATTTGTATAAAAATTAATTTTTAAGTGCTTGCCAATATTTGGGCAGAGTTTGGGAGCGTGCTAGTAATTTAAAAGGTCCTTGAAATGCAATAAAAGAGATATGTTTTAGTTAAAAATCTGTTTTATAGCAAGCAAGCCCATGGTTACTGTATGGGCTTTTTATCTCTATTTACTGTTATTAATTTTTTGCATTGTTTCTGTATCCATGAGGGCACGGATACTTTTAAATAATGGATGTTTATCTGTATATTTTTCACCATAGCTAAGATTAAACTCATAATCAAAATCATCAGGATTAATTCCTTGATTATGCTGTAAAATTGTTTCTAACTTATCTAAAGCCTTTACTGCAACAGCTTCTTGCGTTTGACCTGTCTCATATTCTTCCCATAATCCAAGTATGGTGTTTCTCAGGGGAGTATCTAAGGATTGAGTAAGTAATAATAGATCGTTACGTTCTTGAACGTCTTTATCTGGATGGTTTTTCTTTTCAGTCGCTGGAACATCACCATTGATTGTCTCGCCTAAATCATGAACAAGACACATCTTTAAAACCCTTGAAAAGTCTAGATATTTTAATTCATCTTCAAATACAAGAGCTAACAGGGCAAGCCTCCATGTATGCTCGGCTGTACTTTCAATTCTGCCTTTAGAGGTATGAGAGGAACGCATTATATTTTTCAGGTTTTCAGCCTCTTTCAAAAAGAGTAAACGACCTTTAATAATGTCAGTATTCATTTCAGCTTCTTATTCCTATCAAAATTATAGATTTTTACTTTTAATAAGCTCAATAAATGCTTTTTAAAGTAATCTGTTTTGATTCTGGTTACTACGAGAGCAGCTACAGGCTTATCTATTAAATAGAAGCAATCAATAACATAATGTCCAGATGACTTTTCGCTAACATCTTCAATTCTGGCATATGCGTTGATCGCTGCATTGCAAATTCATCATCCGAAGTCATTGTATATGGATCAGTAAGGGGCTCATCGTGACACAACCTTGGCTATTGGAGTGGTCTACAGCTTATGCTTCAAGATAAATTAAAAAAAGGACAGATGACCTTTTTTTATATTGATCGTAAAATACCTTATCTCAATAAGATAACTTGGGTCTATGTCACTGTTTATTACCTATTATCTAGGCCCAGTATAGGTTTCAAATATTGATAAAGACTTTGAAAATATAGATAGTTTTGAATGAAGAGTCGTAAAAGATGAGGACTATTAGTAATGATGAATTAATACAGAATTATATCGATAAGTTTTCTTTATCGCGTTATTTTTCTCCAATATTGTTAGGAAATTTCTTATTAAAACAAATAGAAGCAGGTGAGTATCTGCTTGCACAAGGAAGCTCGCTAAGTAGCCTCTATTTACTTGTGAATGGAAAATTACAAATAGAACATTACCAAAAAGATGGGAGTTGTGCCGTATTCTCTATTGAAAGGGCTTTTTCCGTGATTGGTGATTTAGAGCTTTTTTTAAATAGAGATATAGGTACAGTAAGTACTGTGACTGCGATTTCAAAAGCGGATATTCTCGAGATATCCCTGAGCAAAATTGAGCAATATGCGTTTAACGATCCAGCTTTTCTATGTTTTATCTGCTCTCATCTCAGTCAAAAATTATATGCTTCTACTCAACTGCTAACAAATGCAACGCTTCCAGCATTTATAAAAGTACGTAAATATTTAGCAATTAGGGCGGAAATGGATGGGAGTATGATTCACTTGGAAAAACGTGATTCTATTGCTGCTATGTTAGGAATTTCGACCAGACAGCTAAATCGGATTTTAAAAGATTTATCAGACTTAAACATCATTCAGTTTAAAAATAAAACGTTAAAAGTTTTGGATAGTGACTATCTCGCTGAAATAGAACCGATAGGCTTTTTATAATTTGACAGCGGTGAAATAAAAATAGAATTATGTTCAAGATATTTAGTGAGGGTTTTAGCCGTCAGTTTATACTTTGAAGTGATTATGGAGTACGCTATAAACCTTCTTTTTTCATTGCAAGCAAGCCCATGGTTACGGCATGGGCTTTTTAATGTAAATGAACAACTCAGGACAGAAGGTCAGAGCTACTTTCAGTGTGTTTTGACAATGAACGTAAATCTGAACCAGAAGGCGCTTGATAAATCTTTAGCCCAAACTCAGGAATAATTGCCATCAGATGGTCAAATATATCGGACTGGATTGCCTCATAATCATTCCATATCGTTGTATTGGCAAATGCATAGATTTCCAGCGGTAATCCCTCACTCGTCGGCTGTAACTGACGGATAATTAGGGATTGGTTTTTAGCAATACCAGCATGTTGCTTTAGGTAGAACTCGACATAGGCCCGAAATGTTCCAATATTGGTCAGGCGGCGCTGGTTATAGATTGACTGATCTTCAAACTGTTGATTAAAGCTGTCCAATTCAGATTGTTTATTATCCAAATACTGATCCAGTAACAGGAAAGCTTTTAATTTCTGTTGTTCTTCATGGGTAATAAAATGAATGCTGGTTTGATCAATAAAGATTGAGCGCTTGATGCGTCTCGCCCCCAACAATTTCATCCCACGCCAGTTTTTAAAGGTGTCAGTGACCAACTTATTGGTGGGAATTGTGGTAAAGGTTTTATCAAAATTCTGTACGGTAATGGTATGTAAGGACATATCAATAACATCACCATCTGCATTTAATGTTGGCATTTCAATCCAGTCACCGATACGAACCATATCGTAGGAAGAGATTTGCACCGATGCCACCAAGGACAGAATCGTATTTTGAAAAACCAGTAACAATACTGCTGCCATCGCACCAAAACCAGCAAGCAGGGTAAAAACATCTTTCTTTAAAAAGGTACCCAAGATCAGCAGACCACAAACGATAAACAGAATCAGCTTGATCAGTTGAAGATAGCCTTTGATGGGCTTATTCAGTGATTTTGGATTACGTTGATAAAGCAGATTAAAGACATTTAAAAGTTCGCTGATGGCCAGTGCAATGGTCAGGAAGATAAAAGCCTGTGCAGCCATTTGTATCAGGCCAACCGCTTTTAAGGACAAATGTGGAACTGTGGTAATACCATTTAAAATAACAATGGCAGGAACAATATTCGCCACTCTGCGGATAACACTATGCTGGGAAAAAATTTCACTGTGTGCAAACTTCATTTTTGAAATAAGTTTACGTATCCCACGAACAACAACTTGTTTTGCAATATAATTTGCGACAAAGGCGAAAAAAATTAGAATTGATAATGATGTTAGCATCTCTAGCCATGGATACTGATCAGACCATTCCTGAATATTCTTTAAGAAGGCAAATTTATCCAAAAGTACAACCTCAAAATAGCAGATACGCTATTGTATTGATTGTGAATGACAATAATTTATAAAAATACTTTTTAGCTACATTCGGGCATCAATTACTTACTCAACAAGATTGACAGACTCTCAGAAAGTCCAAGTGAGTATATGAGGATGAGTATGCAATCGTTGGGCATAGATAAGCCCAGTTTCACGGATCACAATATGCCAATCAACATTACTTTGTTTAATGCTATGGGATGCTAAGTTTTAATTTTTAAGACTCAATAGTGGCTGAGTTTATCCGCAAGATTTGCAATACGGTTCAGACGACAAGACTGTGCATCTAACATTTGTCCCTGTCCTTCGGTTTTAGGATCCCAATTACAATACTTGTCGGTGTTTTCCCACCATGCTGCGATCTCATCCATCTGCCGGTCTTTTTTCACACTGTCTGGACGACTGATGATTTTGGCAAAGGCCTGTTGAACGCGGTTCTTATGTTGAGCATATTCTTGGTCCATACAGCTTTGCATTTCAAATGTTACTGCACCACTTTGCTTGATACATTGGCCATAACTGCTGCTTAATTTGGCATGAATATAAGAATCATCTGGAAGGGGACGAGGCATTTCATCATCGGCAAAAGCTGCAAAAGGAAGAAGAGAGATGAACAACAATGTAGTAGTTTTAAATTTTTTCATATATTTGACCTTTAGTTTTATCTTGATCTCGGTATGTGTTCTTGAATATCTTTATGCTTTGATTCGCATTATTGAAGTAAATTCAGATAGCGTTGCAATTGTGCAGTACGGCCTGCGATACGCTGTATATCATTAAGTTCAGTTTGCAAGTTGTCTGGCTGTGATTGACCATACAGTGTTGTTTCCAGTTCAGCATCACTTTGACGTGATTGTAGCCAAATGCGTTGTGATGCAACCAGTTTCGTTTTTTGGGTAGCACTCAAATGCGATTGTAATTTTTTATAGGTACTATTCAATCGCGCATCTTGACGTTCCGCCTCATCTTTTAGACAAGTTGCCTGTTCAATAATACCTTGGGCACTGTTGTCACAGTTTATAAAAGCTTGGCTTAATAAGTTTTCATTTCCTATTGGTGCAGCGAAGACCAAGCTTGAAAAACTACATAAAAAACTGATCGGTAAGCATGCTAATCGTATTTTTTTCATAAGGGATAAACTCTTGATTGATCTATCAGGATGAATGTTGACTGTTGTGTGAGCTGAGTAAAACCTTGCTTGAGTATCGTCAATCACGCTTTAGCAAAGACAAACAGGGGTATCATTTTGACCAAAGTGTATCAATTTTAAACTTGAATAATCATGGATATTTGGATGTTTTTTCCAAAAACATAGATTGCTCTGTAAAAAATTCTTTAAAGGTCAGAGGTTTATCTTTTGTATAATCCTGCTCATCAACTGTTTATTAACATAGCTTCAAGATAGTAACCCGTATATCCATTTAAATTGAAATTGTATACATCGCATTTTTGGAATTATATCGCAGACTATTGATGTGAATATATTATGATCGGTTTTTTCACACAATGGTTACAGTGAATATTATTCAAATAGAATGATTTGGGTGTCCGTATTTTTATTAAAATAATCAGTCTCTTGAAAAATCAAAATCCCTCAAATTTTGAAGGATTTTGATTTTAGAATGCTTTAAATAGTCTGTGCTCTATTAAGATATAGACGATCTAGCAGAGAAAATAGTGCAGAACCCATAACCAAACATACACCGACAAGACAAGTCATGGTCCAACCTCCATGATGCCATGCATAAACCCCTAAAGCAGAACCACATGCACCACCTGTGAAATAGGCTGTCATATAGATAGAGTTAATCCGAGATTTCGCATCTGGGCGTAAACGGAAAATGATATTTTGATTGCTGGTATGAACCACAGCGAGTCCAAAGCTAATCAGGCCATACCCTAAAATATAACTGGTGAGGTACTTTCCACCGAAATAAAGCAGCGCCCAACTGACGATCATCAACGCTACCCCAATCCATGTCAGGATACTGGTATGTCCACGGTCTGCAATTTTACCAATTTTTGCAGTGGCTAAAGCACCAAATACCCCAATGATCGTTGCAACACCAACCAAAACATCAGGTAGTTTAAACGGTTCAGAGGTCAGTAAAACAGCAATCGTTGAAAATAAAATACTCATGGCTGCAAATGCAAAGCCACCAATAATTGCACGATAGACTAAACGACGTTCTTCTTTTAACAACACACCCATCGAGTAGAAAATTTTGCCATAACTCATTTTAAACACAGGTACATGTGGCAGACGTTTTTTCAATAAATAGGCAAGAATCAACATTAATACCGCACTGACAAAGTAAATCAGTTTCCAGTTAAACAGGTTAGACAACAAACCTGCAAGGCTGGTGGAAAGCAATAACCCGACTAAAAGCCCACTCATTAAAAAGCCAACAACTTCACCTGTTTTTTCAGGTTTAACTGCCATCGTTGCAAGTGGGATTAAAACCTGAGCCGCAACTGAAAATAGACCTGTAATAATTGTGCCAACCCAAAGCATGGGTAAATTGACAGCAAAAGCACACATCAATAGACCAATCGCGGCACAAAACATTAACCAAGGAATAAATTTGATTTTATTGACAATATCACCCATGGGCACAATGAATAAAAGACCAAGCGCATAAGACACTTGGGCAAAAGTCACTGTAAGTGCCACTTGTGATTCTGGCATATTGAAATAGAGTTGAATCGAGTGAATCAGCGGCTGACTATAATAGTTTGCTCCTGCGCATAAACCGCAGGCAATCGCCATCAGCCAAAGTAATGCTTTATTTTGGCTAATATCGAGTTGAGCATTCATAAAAATATCCTAGTTCTTGGAGTTACATACAATAGGCAGTTGCTTCAATTTCAATGAGCATTCCTTGTAAAGCAAGACACGGGACAGGAATCAGTGTACACGCAGGGAAAGGTTGATCTTTCCAAAGTTGTTGCATTTCCTGAATTAAAAACTGATGTTTTTTGGTACTGTGATCGACCACAAGCACTCTTAAAACAGCAATATCCAATAATGATGCATCAGCCGCTTGTAGGGCATGTTGCAGATTGACAAAAGCTTGATGAACTTGTTGTGCAAAATCTTGGGATAATTGTCCTTGTTGGTTTTCACCACCTTGTCCAGATATATGCAAAATACGCAAATAATGGCGTACTTCAGCCACATGACTATACGCAAATGCTGTTGGATTATAAAGTGTATTTGGGTTAATCATTTGGAACGATTTGATCTGCGCGGATTCTGATCTGGAATTCATGGATGACTCTTTTGATTGACTGGAAATTTCCGTCAGTATCAAAGCTCAAGTTAACTTAAGGTCAAGTGAAAATGCCAACAAAAAACCGAAGCAACTGATCGTATTTATGAATGAACAATCAAGGGGCTGTTAAACAAGAAAACCATCATATAGAAAAGTGATCAGAAGAAGCACTATGCAAGTGAAGTATTGCTCAGGATTAAAAGTATATAGTTTGTTTATCTTTGCTTTGATGCTCTTAGGAAATCCCAGTAAGCACTGACTAGGATTCCGCATAGGCCTATCTTAAGCAAGGTATTGGCTATTTTTATATTCAATGAGCTGAAATAGCCCTATACTAAAATAAGCCAGTTATTAAATAACCTAGCCGTTAAATAATGAGTTGTGAATCTACAATATTGCCCGTTTTCCCTAACCAAAATGGACGGTTGACTTCACCATGACCAAACCAGTCACATTGGTAAAGTGGGATGTGCAGTGGATTGAGATGTTCTTTCACAATCTCAACAATACTTTGCGGGACATTTTTTTGTGGGCATTGATAAAAATCACCCAAGACCAAAGCCTTTAAGTTTGAAGTATCAATACTTTGTAGGAGCTGAGTCAATGAACGTTCAATTCGATAATACGGTTCGCCTACATCTTCAATCAGTAAAACACTCGGCTGATTCAGTTTTAAGGCAGACGGTGTGCCTTGTAAAGTACACAGTACAGTAAGATTTCCGCCTAAGATTTTAACATCTTCAATGTGCTGATCTTGAGCAAAACCATTTGCGCTGGATAAGGGATAATGACCATGTTGGTTTATATCCGCGGATAACAGGCTGATGGTTTTTAAAGCATCATACGACAGAGGACTATTGTCTAAATTTTTAACGGCAATTTCCTGAAATACAGGCGCATGTAAAGATTGCCCATGATGCATCGCAATATAGTTTAATAACACGGTTGTATCTGAATAGCCAATAATGGGTTTATTCAAAATCCACTCATCTAAAAATGGCAATAACATTGCAGCGCCAGTACCACCACGACCACACCAAATTGCATCAATGTCTGGATCTATACATGCCTGTTTTAAATCTTGAATACGTTGTTCAACTGTACCTGCCAAATAGCGATGTTGTGAAAATACATGTTCACCCAAACTGACTGTATGACCTAACTGTTCCAAATGCGACTGTGCCAACTGGATATTTTCAACATCTACACAGGCACTCGGCGATACAATTTTAAAATGCATATTCCTTCCAAGTTTCTGCACAATTTAGTGTGCAAGTTTCTTTTTAGACAAAGTAATCATCATGACACCGATGATATTCAGTAAACAACCAAACCATTGTATCGCATTCATAAGCTCACCGAGCAAAGCCACAGCCAAAATAATGGTTAGGATCGGGCCAATCGAACCAATCATAGCTGCTTGTGCAGCACCTAAACGAGAAATACTTTGCGCGACCAAAATCGTCGGTAAAACCGTCACCAATAAGCCTAAGGCGATACCATACCAAATGACTTGTGTCGGAAGTTGAGTAAGCAGTTGAATCGGCTGGGGTGTTGCAATGATAAAATGGGTTAGCGTACCAAAACATGCAATGCTTAATGCCAAACCAGTGTAATTCCATGAACCAAATTTTTGAATTAAACGTGGGGTCATGAGTAAGTACGTCGCAAAACAAACCGCACTGGCAAAGACTAAACTCACGCCTAGCCAGAAATTTCCTTCATGCGGTACTGTGCTTTGCTCTTGTAGCATCACAATCACTGTACCACCATAGCTTAATGCAATCGCTAGTATGGTTCTAAAGTTGAGTTTTTGCTTATAAATAAAGCTTGTGGCAATTACTGTCAGTGTTGGATAGAGAAATAAAATAATACGTTCTAACGAAGCACTGATATACATCAGACCAGCGAAGTCGAGCCAACTTGAAAGGTAATAGCCCATCAAACCTGCAGCAACCAATAAGGCCCAATCTTTTCCTGTCATATTTTTATTATGATGGCGATTGAACCAACACAGTAAAAGGAAAAAAGGCAGGGCACTTGCCATTCTCAATGCCATAAGCACGGTGCTGTCGACTAATGGCGATAATGCGTAAGCCTGTTTAATAAAAATAGCTTTGGTACTAAATAAGAAAGCCGCACCAAGTGCGAAAATCGAACCGAGTTGGGTACTGGATAAAGAAAGTTTCATGAATTTGACTGCATTGACGATGTCGCTATACGACATGTAAATTTGAACAAGCAGTATAAATGTTGTTTTCAATCAGTGGAAATACAAAAAAAGAATGAATTGGCGCAATAAAAGGAATATAAAACACACTTGCTTACTTCTTTTTGTGTGGATTTAAGTAGCATTTAAATAGATTGAAATAAAAATTGTATAAAAATCAACCTTGAAATCCTTGTTTATAAACTGCTCAAATTCAATATGCTATTTTTTGCACAAAAAAGGTGCAACATCGTAATGGTTGGTTCAAGCTGTTCGAGTATTATTAACTGACAAAATGGCAAATAAAAAAAAACTAAAATTTTTTGTAATTGCTTTAGACTCAGTTCTAGGGTAATTCTAATGGTTATTCCAAGTACTTTTTTTTATTAATGAAATTAAAAAATGTAATAAAAACCGACTTACATTTTTGACGGAAAAAATGATAGAAAAGGCCAATATAAGCTGATAAAAAAACCATGTAATTTGTCAGAAAGGTCAATAGGGATGTTGGTTTTTGTGCTAAATCTATTGTTTTATGGAGTATTTAAGCAGCAAGCTGGAATGCTTAAAAGTGAATCATACTGCTGTAAATGCCAATCAGTAGGGTAGGGTGAGCAGCCTAAAATATGCTAATAAGCTTAAAAAAACATCGTTTTTAAAAATTGGAGACAGGATATGTCAAAAAAACTGAGCAGGATAATACGAAAAAAATACAATAAATTGAATATAGGGTATGTCGCACAATTATATTTATGAATCATCAGTTCAAAATATGGGTATTTATTAAATAAATATTGGGTGGTATTTTAAAAAAGTTCAATTAGAATCCAAAAATTCATAACAACGCATCTGGGGGAAACATCGGGTTATTTACGATGTTTACTTGAAGAAAAATTAGCTTGAGGAACGCTCATGCAGATTGGAATCCCAAAAGAATCTGTCGTCGGTGAAAACCGCGTAGCCGCTACGCCAGAGACAGTAAAAAAGTTGATTAGTGCTGGTCATAGTATTGTCATTGAACGAGGCGCTGGTAAAAAAGCGGCTTATATTGACAGTGCTTATGAACAAGTCGGCGCTAAAATTACAGATGATGCCTATACAGGTAGTCAAATTATTTTGAAAGTTCGTGCACCACAAGGTGAGGAAATTCAAAAGCTTGCCGCTGGAACAGCTGTGGTAGCAATGTTTGACCCATACCGTAATACTGAACTTGACCAATTTGCGTCACAACAAGTGTCTGCATTTGCGTTAGAGCTTTTGCCACGAACACTGTCTCGTGCGCAAAATATGGATGTATTGTCTTCTCAAGCCAACCTTGCAGGTTATAAGTCGGTGTTATTGGCCGCTGCGGAATATCAACGCATGTTCCCAATGCTGATGACCGCTGCAGGTACTGTGAAACCCGCTCGTATTGTGATTATGGGTGTGGGTGTCGCAGGTCTTCAAGCCATTGCAACTGCAAAACGCTTAGGCGCAGTTGTTGAAGCAACAGATTTACGTCCAACTGCACGTGACCAAGTCGAATCGCTTGGTGGTAAGTGGTTAGATGTACCGATGTCTGATGAAGAAAAACAAAAAGCTGCCGATGCCGCTAAAAATGGTTATGGCTGGATGCCAGGCGAGCAATATATTCAAGACCAAGCCATCATCGTAGATAAAGCCGTGTCAAATGCAGACATCGTGATTACTACTGCGTTGTTGCCAGGTCGTGATGCGCCTCGCTTAATCAAAGCTGAAACTGTTGCCAAAATGAAACCAGGTTCAATCATCCTAGATATGGCCGTTGAATCAGGCGGCAACGTTGAAGGTTCTAAGAATGGTGAAAATGTTGTCACTGACAATGGCGTGACGATTTTAGGTATTCCAAATATTCCTTCTACAGTATCGACAGAAGCTTCGGCACTGTATGCACGTAATGTTTTCAATTTCGTAGAAACTTTGTTTGATCAAGAGAAAAACTTTGCCATCAATCAACAAGACGAAATTCAAAAAGCACTTCTAGTAACTCATGGCGGTCAAGTACTGCTGAAGCGTGGTTAAGGAGAGTCATCATGGTTGAAACTATTACTATTTTCGTCTTAGCCATCTTTGTTGGTTACTACGTGGTTTGGGGTGTAACCCCTGCATTGCATACGCCATTAATGGCTGTAACCAATGCATTGTCCTCAATTATCGTTGTAGGTGCGATGATACAAACTGTTGGAATTCCTGGTGTTGTAGACGCAAGTGTACAATTCCAGTCCGTGAATGTTGTTAGTGTACTTGGTGCAATTGCAGTGTTCTTGGCAAGTATTAACATTTTTGGTGGCTTCGCAGTGACTGCACGTATGCTTGAAATGTTTAAGCCAAAACAAAAGAAAAAAGAGGGCTAATCTATGGAAATCATTCGAGAATATGCAGATTGGTTCTACCTTGTAGGTGCTGTCCTTTTTATCTTAACTTTACGTGGTCTTTCAGGTCCTAAAACTGCGATTGCTGGTAACCGTTACGGTATGATTGCCATGGCGATTGCGGTAATCACCACATTCTTTGTCGCAGATCATCCTGTTGTATGGATGATTGGTGGTGCAATGGTGTTGGGTGCAATTGTCGGTATTGCACGTGCACGCACAGTTCCAATGACACAAATGCCAGAAACAGTGGCATTGATGCATTCACTTGTTGGTTTGGCTGCGGTATTAATTGCAATTGCTGCAATTTTACATAATAACCAACTTACAGCTTTGTTTGCGCAAAACGAATCTGCTTTAACCGCTGCTGGTGTACAGCATGCGCATATGAGTAAAGTTCATTTATTTGAATTATTCGTCGGTTGTTTCGTTGGTGCGATTACCTTTACTGCATCTGTATTTGCTTATGGTAAGTTAGCTGCAAAAAAATGGGCAAAAACCATTTCAGGTGCTTGGGTTAAACCCGTTCAAGCGATCATTTTCCTGGCTATGCTGGCGTGTGGTGTGTACTTCTTTACCACAGGCAATATGCAAGCATTCTGGGCAATGACTGCATTGGCGCTGGCATTTGGTTGGGTTTGGATTGCACCAGTCGGTGGCGGTGATATGCCAGTTGTGGTTTCACTACTGAACTCATTCTCTGGTTGGGCTGCGGCAGGTATTGGTTTCACACTTGAAAACAACATGTTGATTGTTGCTGGTTCACTGGTGGGTTCATCAGGTGCGATTCTGTCTTACATCATGTGTAAAGCAATGAACCGTTCAATCATCAATGTATTGTTTGGTGGTGCGATGGGTGGTACGGCTGTAGCATCGGTTGATAAAGGTGAGCAAGTTCAACGTAATTACCGTTCTGGTTCTGCGGATGATGCGGGCTTCTTGATGTCAAATGCTGACAGCGTTGTGATTGTACCGGGTTATGGTATGGCGCAAGGTCGTGCACAAAACGCAGTGAAAGAATTGTGTGAAATCTTGAAAGAGCAAGGTGTAACAGTTCGTTTTGCAATCCATCCAGTTGCGGGTCGTATGCCTGGTCATATGAATGTATTGTTAGCGGAAGCTGATGTTGCATATGAAGACATCTTGGAAATGGACGAGATCAACTCTGATTTCCCAGCGACTGATGTTGTACTGGTAATTGGTGCGAATGACGTTGTTAACCCAGCGGCTAAAGATGATCCAACTTCACCAATTTATGGTATGCCGATTCTTGAAGCACATAAAGCACGTACCATTATGGTGATCAAGCGCTCTATGGCAACAGGTTATGCAGGTTTAGACAATGACTTATTCTACAATGACAAAACCATGATGATCTTTGGTGATGCTAAGAAAGTTGTTGAAGAGATGACAAAAGCAATCAATGGTGGTGGGCACTAAGCCGCTATCGGATTAAATCCACCGCAGCCCTCCTTTGATAAAGGAGGGAGCCTAACCGCCTTCGGGCGGTTTTTTATTTAAGCAATTTTAATGCTATGATTTTGATAAAAACCGAATGAATAAAAAATGATGAATCAACCATTTAAAATAATCTGTAACAGCTTAGGCATCTATCTGGCATTTTCCTTGTCTATAACGCATGCACAAGTTTTTGAAATTCAAGATGGCTCGAAACACTATGATGCCGTAATTGATATTGCATGTGAAAAAGATGAATGTGGGGCAAAGGCCGAAGTAAAGCTATTTAAAAAGGGCAGTAAAGCGGTATTTCAAGCATTTCACTCTGATGAACTGACTATGTATTTGGACGAAAAGTTTAAACCGAGTGTTAATGTTATACAGCTTTATGGCGAGCAAAGCCCTTTGATTTTTGATGATTTTAACTTCGATGGAACAGAAGACTTCGCGATTAGAAACGGCAATTATGGTTCTTATGGCGGTCCTGTGTATGACATTTACGTATTTAATCAAAGCAAGAATAAACTTGTTTTAAGTCAGGAACTGTCTGCACTCACTCAAGAAAATTTAGGTATGTTCGAGCTAGACAAAAAGCGCAAACGTATCATCACCTTTAATAAAAGTGGCTGTTGCTACCATATTCGTTCTGAGTATCAAGTTGTACCTAGAAAAGGTTTATTGCTGGTTCGAGAGTTTATTGAGGATGCAACCTCACCAAAAGGTGATCAAGTTGAAGTCACAGATCGTAATCTGATCAATGGAAAATGGAAGGAAAAGACCAATTATTATCCAACTGCAAAATATTATGCTCAGTAGTCACAATTTACCTCGTATCGCTATTTTGTATTGACATCGCTATATGATGTAAATCAACAGATGCTGAATAGTGGGGCAGAGTGATATCTTATGAATAGAATGATTTCTTTACATTGTGATGTTAAATTTTAAACATAAAAAAGCCCATCCAAAGATGAGCTTTTTTAATTAAAACTGAAACTTAATGAGGAATATGCTCTTCATCTTCATCTTCAAATTCAGGTTTAACTTGTACGATAAAGTCTTGACGATTAAGACCACGCCACAATGCAAATGCAGTACCGATATAGATTGAAGAATACGTACCTACAAATACACCAATAAACATAGCAACTGAGAACCAGTGTAAGCCATCACCACCCAAGAACATCATTGCAAGTACAACCAGCAATAATGTCATCGAGGTATGAATAGTACGTTTTAAGGTTTCAGTTAAGGCAATATTCACAATTTCTAACGGTGTCGCGCCACGAATCTTACGGAAGTTTTCACGGATACGATCCGATACAACAATGTTATCGTTTAACGAGAAGCCGATTAAGGCAAGAATAGCCGCTAAAACAGTAAGGTCAAATGGCCATTGCATCATTGCAAAAATACCAATCGTTACGATCACATCGTGCAGTAATGAAAGCACTGCACCAACTGCAAGTTTAAACTCAAAGCGAATGGTCACGTAGATCAGCATAAGTAGCATTGCAAGTGCTACAGCACCTGCAGAGCGTAAATATAGCTCATTACCGACTTGACCACCGACAGAGTCAACCTTATGAACAACGGCAGTGTTATTCGGCAGTTGAACCGCTTTGGTGATGGTATTACTTAAGTCTTCAACTTTAAGGTCTTGCGCTGGCATACGTACAATTAAGTCTTTATTTGAACCTAATGTTTGTACAACTGCATCTTTAAAGCCAGCTTTATCCAAATTGGAAATCACGTCTGCTGGTTTTGCCGCATATTGATAGTTCAATTCTGCAGAAACACCACCAGTAAAATCTAAACCAAGATTTAAGCCTTTGGTTGCAATAAAGAAGATACTTGCAATGGTCAAAAGGATTGAGATGATTGCCGCTGGTTTGGCAATCTTCATGAAATTAATTACATGCTCATCATCAGGGCGACCATATTTCTTTTTCGGTTGAGTCACATCAGTCATCTTCGATCTCCTATATGCTCAACTTATTCAAGTTACGTTTTCTGCCATACACCAATTGAACAATTGCACGTGTTACTGTAATTGCAGTAAACATTGAGCAAATAATACCAATCATCAGCGTTACAGCGAAGCCTTTGATCGGACCTGTACCAATAGCAAACAGAATAAATGCAACCAAGAATGTGGTTAAGTTTGAGTCGAGAATGGTGTTATATGCTCGATCATAACCGGCAATAATGGCCTGTTTGGGCGAGGCCCCCCAGCGCATTTCTTCTCGTATTCGCTCACAGATCAGTACGTTGGCATCGACCGCCATACCAATGGTGATTACGATACCTGCAATACCTGGCAAGGTCAGTGAAGCCCCGATCCAAGACATGATGGTGAGAAGCATTGCCAAGTTAATCACTAATGCTACATCAGCAATTAAACCAAATAGACGGAAGAACACGATCATCCAGATTGCAACAAGCAGGAAACCAACTTGAGTTGATAATACGCCTTTGTCGATGTTCTCTTGCCCCAAACTTGGACCAACAACACGTTCTTCTACAAAGTACATTGGTGCAGCTAAAGCACCAGCACGTAACATCAATGCAAGTTCAGCCGCTTCTTGAGGAGAATCTAAACCGGTAATACGGAAAGATGAACCTAAAACCGCTTGAATATTTGCAGCATTGATCACCACAGATTCAGTATATGGTGTGCGAACTTCTGTCATCGCACCTGTAACTGGATCAGCAACAGAGGTGATTTTTTGTTTATTTTCAATAAACAAAACCGCCATACGTTTGCCAACAGCAGTACGGGTTGCATCTGACATCAACTTACCACCAGCAGTATCTAAAGTAATATTTACTTCAGCGCCACCACTATCTTGGCTAAAACCACTTGATGCATTTTGTACACGTTCACCGGTAAGGATACGGCTGCGATTTAATAATAGTTCACGACCACTGTCCAAAGATTCGTAAGCAAAAACTTCAGTACCTGGCGGTAAAGGTTGACCATTATATTTACCTGTGAAACGGTCAATATATTGATCATTTAAATCAGACACTAAACGGAATTCAAGGTTTGCAGTACGCCCCAAGACACGTTTAGCTTCGGCAGTATCTTGTACACCAGGCAGTTCAACCACAATACGGTTGCTACCTTGGCTTTGTACCAATGCTTCAGCCACACCTAACTCATTAATACGATTACGTAAGGTGGTTAAGTTTTGGTTAAGTGCATAAGATTGAATGTCTTGCTTGGTCGCATCGTTATAGGTCAACTTAAGCGTTGAACCTGTATCCGTTGCTAAAGCTTGTTGATTGAACTTATTCCCATCACGACGTAAAAAGTCCATTACCGCTGCACGGTCATCATTATTTGCAAACTGAATCGTAATGGTATTGTTGTTCAATGAAAGACTATTAAATTTAATCTTATTGTCACGGAACTCACGACGTAAGTCTGTTGCTGAGGTTTCCATACGTTGTGCAATAGCTTTGTCCATATCTACTTCAAGTAAGAAATGCACACCACCACGTAAGTCCAAACCAAGCTTCATTGGCTTAGCGCCAATTTTTTGCAACCACTCAGGTGTGGTTGGTGCAAGGTTTAATGCAACGGTATAGTTCTCACCCAAACCTTTGCTGAGGACATCTTTTGCTTTTAACTGTGCTTCAGACGTACTTAAACGTAAAAGGGCAGCATTGTTGGTGAAGGTATTATCATGACTGCTAATATTTTCACTTTTTAAAATTTGCTCTGCTTTTTGTATGACAGACTGATCAATTGTGGTACCAGCCTTGGCACCAGAAATTTGAACAGCAGGTTCGTCAGGATACAAACTCGGCAGCGCATATAATGTACTGATCACTAGTACCACTAGAATCAATATATATTTCCATGCAGGGTAACGCATTTGCTTTCTTCTTAAAATGAAAAAGTCGTGCTAAGTGCACGACCGTTTTATGATTAAAGGTTATTTAATGTGCCTTCAGGGAGTACTGAAATAACACTTGCACGTTGAACTTTGACTTCATTTCCTTTGCTTAATTCAACCACTGCAAAGTCGCCATCAATTTTTAGGATACGACCCATTAAGCCGCCTGCAAAGACAATTTCACTGCCAACACCTAAGCTTTCGATTAAAGTACGGTGTTCTTTTGCACGTTTTGCTTGAGGGCGCCAGATGAGAAAATAAAAGATTGCAACAAATACTACAATCATCAATATGTTTGCCATCATGCCTGGGCCTTGTGCAGGCGCTGCTGCAGCGTGAGCAGAAGAAATAAATAAGCTCATTCTAATTTCCTAATGTTAAAAATTATCTGCCATTTTCATGGCTTTTAAATTGACTTGTTCAGCAATTTACCTTGTCTTGGGTTTCAGCGCAAATACTGTTGAATTAATCTTCAATTCAACTTTATATTGGGGCATTAGTCAGCAGGACAAGGAGGAACGTCTAAACCGCGACGTTGATAGAAATCAGTCACGTATTCATCAAAAGTTCCTTGATCTAAAGCATCACGAATATCTTGGGTAAAACGTTGGTAATAACGTAAATTGTGGATCGTACCCAACATTGAACCGAGCATTTCACCACATTTTTCTAAATGGAATAAATAAGCACGGGTGAAGTTGGTACAGGTATAACAGTCGCAATGTGGATCAAGTGGACTTTGATCATGACGATATTGGCTGTTACGAATTCGAACTAGACCATCGGTAACAAAATAATGACCATTACGTGCATTTCGAGTTGGCATGACACAGTCGAACATATCGACACCGCGACGAATTGCTTCAACGATATCTTCTGGTTTACCCACACCCATCAAATAACGCGGTTTATCTTCTGGCATTTTTGCAGGCAGATAATCCAAAACTTTGATCATTTCTTCTTTTGGTTCACCTACAGATAAACCACCAATCGCAAAGCCATCAAAATCAATTTCTTTAAGACCGTTTAAAGACTCTTCACGAAGGTCTTCATACATTCCACCTTGAATGATTCCAAACAATGCGTTTCTATTTTTTAAAACATCGTGATGTTGTGTTTTACAACGCTTCGCCCAACGTAATGACAGTTGAAGCGATTTCTGTGCTTCTTCATGGGTTGCTGGATATGGCGTACATTCATCAAAAATCATCACAATATCTGAGTTCAATGTATGTTGAATATCCATTGAAATTTCAGGAGATAAAAAGACTTTTGAACCATCGATAGGTGAGCGGAAAGTAACCCCTTCTTCTTTGATTTTACGCATAGCACCCAGACTGAAGACTTGGAAGCCGCCTGAATCAGTAAGAATCGGTTTGCCCCATTTCATAAACTCATGCAAACCGCCGTGTTCACGGATAACATCTAGTCCAGGACGTAAATAAAGATGGAAGGTATTGCCTAAAATAATTTGTGCTTTGATGTCTTCGATATCGCGCGGCAACATGCCTTTAACTGTGCCATAAGTTCCCACAGGCATGAACACAGGTGTTTCAATCACACCATGTTCTAAAGTTAAACGACCACGACGAGCACGCCCCGACTGACCTAATTTTTCAAACTTCATAAATAACCTAAATCTGGCGAAAAAACAGTTCGCTGATTGATAATTGCAAAAGGGGGCTATTTTCCCTGATTTTATGGTCGAATACCAGTCATGTTGTTTTTCATAATGTTAAATTTAAAATTATTGATTTAGCACCTTGAACATCAAGAGATTGATACGAGAATCATTTTTTTATCGTTGAATAATTATTGTTTGAATATCAAGGTATTATTTTTATGCTGCTCAAAAGCGAACTGTAGTTCGCTTTTTAGCTTAGATTTGGACAAGATAGAAAATTAGTCTTTTGCCTTACGGCCGATAATGATCAAGGCGATAACTCCCAGAATCATGATGAATATTCCATAATGATTCCAAAAATTACGCTGCATTTTATTTTCTTGGTATTCAGGATTTTTACTTAAGGTTGAAATGACTTCATCAGGTAATTCATAAAACGTATCTGGTTCTGCATCGGTCATGCCGACTAAGGTGCAGTCCCATGTTTTGACATCTGCCCATAAGATCCCAAAGTGACTACATTTATATCCTGCATTTAAACTTTTAAGATCTTCATATTGACTTAATACTTCTTGTGGAAATGGGCCAACCTTAAACATTTCATCGCCTGTATTGAAAACTAACAGGCCTTTCGCTTGAGCAGGGGCTTGCCAGAGAAAACACAGACATAACATCATGAATAATTTTTTTAACATTTGATTTACTCCAATCTTTAGATTGTCTTTTTATTAAGTTGATCATTTTAAGTTGATCGTTTTGTTCTAAAAATAGTCATTTTTTAGCGGTTTGAAAATATCAGAAAATGATCGAAATGTCATTTTTTATATTGAAAATAAACAGGATTATGGCTGAATTTTTATTCAAATTTCCACATGGTGATTTAGGCGATATGTTTCGAGTCAAATATACTCAATCGCCATAATCGATTCCTGATCATGGCTTTAAAGCTGATCCAAAAAAATTGTTGAATTTATCAAACTGATTTAGCACTTGTTCAACCTTGGCAATCCGTTGTTCTAAACTTCCTGTTAAAGCGATGTATGGAATCCGACGTTGTTTGAGATCCGCAATAATTTGCTGATGAAAAATAGCTCTTTTTTGGGGGCCGCTACGATCCCAAGTGTCGTCATAAGCAATATCATCTTCACACAAGAAAAATAAGTCATAGCGCTGTGCATTTTCGAGTGCAAGTTGTTTGAGGTGCTCAGGTAATCGTCCATGATAATCCATACAAAACATCGCTGTGGTTATCGCGTTGGTATCTACAAATAAATAACGGTTTGCATCTAAAGTGACCTGATCTTCATAGGCGATATGACGATCTGCAATAATATTGAAATCTTCAAAACCGATACGACGATCAACTTGGTGAGTTTCCCAATATTCACGCCCATATTCTGGGGCAAAAGTTGTTGCATACTTTTTCGCAAGCGCTTCAACCAGAGTCGACTTGCCTGTAGACATTGCACCGACAAAGACGACTTTGCTAATCAAATCTGCATAGACACAGTTGGGGATAAATTTCCGATTTTGAAAGGCATTTGCTCGAATCATTGTAGCGGAGATCGGCACCTGTAGACGTGACTCATCCACTCTACGGTCAATTGCATTGAGCGCTGTGCTGACATGCTCACCATAAAATTCACTACTATAAAAATGCGAAATTTTCACGCCATTGAGCTTTTGAATGATGTAATTTTCTTGTTCTATTTCAAACGCCCGATCATTGGAATATCCCTCAGGCCCATCCCATGCTTCAATTACATGAATTTGAGGAAATAAATCTCGGATCCATTGGGCGCGAATGTTTAAAGGGATGCTTGTAATTGAACTTTGATAGATCAAAACATACAGCTCATCCACTTCTTGTAATGCTGTTTCAAATACATGCATATGACCTGCATGTAAGGGTGCATATTTACCGAGTGTCAGTCCGATTTTTTTCATAGTTTTTAAATTCAATAGGATGGGTTTGAGTGGTTTTGTGCAAGTTTGTTCCAGTTATAGTAGCCATAGATGGCATTGATCAGAAAGGCTGACCACATCAATAACATCATTGCACCATCACCACTACCATCAAGGGTTCGGATCGCCCACATTAAAATACTGAAGATATTTAAAGTAATATAAAACCACCATTGCTCTTTAAAACGCAGCAGCATTAAAATCGTTGCTGTGATTGCAAGGATATTGGTGGTTGCATCTATATAAGGCGTATTTTGAGTGGGAATTTGGGCAAGCAGATAACCGAGTATCGCAATACAACCTATATTGCTCAGGATGATCAAAATCAAATAAGCCTGCCGAAGGGTATAGGCCTGTTGTAATTGTTTTTCTTTGGTATGTTTTTGCCAAAGTAGCATGCCGATCAAAGCGGTTGGGACAAAGAATAAGAGATTCAGTCCCATTTCGCCATAAAGCCCGTTGTTATAGCAAATCCATGCATAAGCGCAGCTATTAAACAAACCAAAACTATAGTTAAGAATATTGCCTTTTGCTGCTAATACTACACAGAGAATTCCGCTGAGTAATACCACGAAATTAAACCATGTATCCTGTTGAACTAAGGTAATGATACAGCCGATGAAAATAAAACTAAAAAGCCAAATAATCTCAAATACATTCCAGTTTTTGAAAAGAAGGTGAAAGAGGGAGGGGGAAAAGAGTTTCAACATAGGGTTGGTAATTCTAAGTAATGCTGTTGGTGTTATTTGCTGGTAATTTATACCCGATTTAAATCCTACAGGCGATTTGAAATTTTAGTTTAATCGCATGCAAGGACTGGATTGTTGACCATTGTTTTTTACCAAGCTTGTTGATAAATCCATTGTCATTATTTGTTTTTTACGTATTTATTCAAGTGATGTTTGATTAAAGAACCTTCCCAATATTTCTTTGGGAAGGATGGGTTTTTCCAACAATATAGAGTAAAGCTTAGTTAAAATTAGGCTTGTAATCAAAATTCTGAGTGACCACATTGTCTGAAAATGGACGAATTGTTTTCTTTGCCAAAGTAATGGTATTGATCATATTGTTTGGAAAAATTTCGATGGTGTTATTAAATTCTTCAACATTACGGTTAAATATGGTGATTGCTGCACCGACATTTTCATTTTGTTCTTGAATATCATCCATCATTTTTGCATACAAAGTATCCGCTTTGAGTTCAGGATAATTTTCAACCACCACATTTAAACTTTTCATTAAATCTTGATTGAGTTTTTCAACATGTTGCAGTTGAGAAACATCGGTATTGTTTAGATTTAGATTCAAAATTTGCTGACGTAACTCGGTCACTTTTTCCAAAGTTGATTTTTCAAACTGTGTATATTGCGCCAAAGTTTGCTCTAAAGTTTCCAGTGTTTTTACTTTCTGGCGTTCAAAATTGGCAACTTCAGCCCATGCGCGTTGTGTCGCATTGAAATAACGCACAATGTTATTTCTGACCAGAATACCCCAAACGATCAGAACAATAAAAATCCCAATAAATATGATTAAACCCATTTTGATTATTCCTTTTGATTTATGAAATCAAGTTTAGCATGCACTGTTTAAATTTTTCATATTCAGGCATGGTTAATGTTCTTAAATGTCCACGAAGTGCTGAAATATCCTGAAGCTTTTGTTTTTTACGACGAATGCGAAAGAGATCTTGATCTCCCATATAGCACAGCATATTTTCTTCAAAATGATAAACAATATCACCTGAATAGTGTTGAAAAAAATCACTTAATTTTAAGGTGATACTCGGACTAATGGTGCGGGCAAGTTGATGTTGATCATAGCCAAAAATATATAAATTTTGACTGACCAGAATATCCGCAGTTTTCCATATTTGGGTATAGGGCGGAATAAATTCATGATGTTTATTACTGGCGGCAAAGCCGAGGGCGGGTAATTGAAAAATAAAAGCGCCCCATTGGTTTTTATGAGTTTCCTTAATTTTCTGTTTTTCACCCTGAGTATTGGGCAGTGAAAACTCATCGACATAATGATACTGAAATAACATCACATGATGTTCTTGTTCACCATCAAACCATTTGGTGGATGCAAATTGTTCAATCTCATTCAACACATTGCCTTGCGAAAACAACGGAAAACTTTGTTTTAACTTACTCATGACCAAAAAGCTATTGCTTGTTGTGGAGATATGACTTGGGGTTTTATTAAAATCTAATTCGTAGCGGAGAAACATCATGCGCTGTTCTAAAAAATTGATGACTTCATCAATTGGATCGCTTTGCTCATAAATTAAATAAGCAGCAAAACAGCATAACAAGGCTGCTAATAGACTCAGTGGGTAGGGAATATAGTGATGAATCAGCCAACCAAAAATTGCAGTCAGTACCCCAATCATAAACAGCAGTCTGGGGATGAGGTTATGAAAAAATAACTCTCTACATTCTCCCCACGGATGTAAGCCATCTAAAATATCTTGTGCAGATTGAGCCTGTTGTCCAATTTCCCAAAGCCGAGCGATATTGCGCATCACATGTTTATTTTTTCTTGTGCGTAGGTGAAGTAATCGCTCAACGGTTTCTATAGGCATGGCAAATAATCATGATTGAAGTCTATTAAAGTTCGAATTCCAGATTGATCAGTATGCGATAAATTATTGTATCGACAAAGTAAATTGTTTATTTTTCAACTTTATTGGTCCCATAATGAGGCTGGACTTCTTGTAGAATCGTGATCAGTGAATCTTTAAGCTGCTCATAATCAGGCATGTTCATACTTTCAAGTTGTGCAGCCAAATCATGTACAGTTTGAACTTTATCGACTTGCATCTGCGCTTTGGTAATATCCGTTTTAAACAGCCAGCACAAAGAAGGGCGCTGGGCTTGAACATAAAAATCACCTTTAAAATAAGCCATGGCTTGATCAAGCATTAATACATGATTTGGTGTAAAAAATTTGGCAAGTTGCATTTCATTTGTACCACTTAATTGGTACTGATTGTCGAAACGAATATCCCCACTCGACCATTTTACCCCAAGACGGCAGGCTCGATTTTGTTTAGATGAAATACTGATACCTTGAGCAGGGAAGTTTTCTAGGATGATCCCCCATAAATCATAATGACGATATTCAGTCT